CATTCAGCTCCCTGCTTGTGGCCTGGGAAAGCAGTCAAGGACGGCCCAAAGCCTTGGGATCCTGCACCCATGTGGGAGATTCAGAAGAAGCTCCTGGTTCCTGGCTTCAGGTCAGCTCAGTTTTGGCCATGGCAGCCACTTGAGGAGTGACCCAGTGGATGGAAGATCTTTCTGTCTCTCCTTCTCTCTGTATATCTGTCTTTGCAATAAAAAAAATAAAATAAAATACAATCCTAAAAAAAAAAGTTGTAGTAGGGACTTGAGGAATGATTTTTTTTCAGTCTTTTTATGTATTCCACATCCAGTTTTAAACTCATGCCATGAACAATTAAAAATAACTTGTTATAATAGTGAAATATATTGAACTGCTCATCTGCCGTGTTAATGCCAGACACTGTGCCTAGCACTAGTGTTCTTCTTATAATCTTTTAAAAATCCTGTTGTAGAATGTAGAAAAAAGCAATAATTGTATAGCTTAGTATATTTTAGTGTTAATTCTTTGGTACACTCTTAGTTGTCGATATGCATTTATATTGGAAAGACAGATTTACAGAGAATAGGAAAGACAGACATTCATTCCACTGGTTCACTACCCAAATGGCTGAGCTGATCCGGAATAGGAGCCTGGAGCCTCTTCCAGGTCTTCCGTGTGGCTTTGGGCAATCCTCTACTACTTTCCAAGCAGGAAGCTGGGTGGAAAGTGGAGGGGACGGGGCACGACAAAAAGAAAGGGTGCACCAGTTGTGTGACCACAATTTTATTTCATCAAATACTAGAAAGCTTTTCCTGCATACTGTTCAGCTGTCCTTTGGCAGGTAAATGGATGTGTCACACTTGTTGCGACATAAAAGCAGGTAGATGCTTATGACTGCACAGAATTGTCTCATTGAAAAATTCTTTCTCCCGTATTATGTCCAAACTTCCTTTTGCTCTTGGTTTTTGTTTTTGATAAATATCTTTTTAAAAGATTTTATTATTTTTTTTTAAGGTCTGATTCACAGAAAAAAGGAGAGACAGAAAGATCTTGCATCCAGTGGTTCACTCCCCAAGTGGCTGTAATGGCCAGAGCTGAGTCAATCCAAAGCCAGGAGCCATGAGCTTCTTCGAGGTCTCCCTCTTGGGTGCAGAGTCCCAAGGCTTTGGGTCGTCTTCTGTTTCTCAGGTCGCAAGCAGGGAGCTAGATGGGAAGTGGAGTCGTCGGGATTGAAACCGGTGCCTATATGGGATCCTGGCACATGCAAGGATCTTTAGCCACTAAACTACTGTGCCAGGTCCAATAAATATCTTGTGTGATGTTCATATCACTTCTGTCAGGAAATTAAGAGACACATTCAAGTTCCATAGGTGATGGCAAAAGCAGATTTTTATCCTCTGAATGATGTTTTCATTGAAATGTGGACTCTGAAAGAATCCAGGAAACAATATGAAGATTCATATATGTTTCAGTGGTGCTGTGAAGATGTGAAAGGGGCTGCATCCCCTAGCTGTGGGAGGGACCTGGGAGTGCTCCCTCTGGACACAGAATGCTCTGAGCTGCTTGCTCACAGGGTCCACAGCTGGGCAGAGGTGCTGGAGGGCCAGGAAGCTGCTGCCCTTGCTCCCACAGTGTCACCTGGTGGTGTATCGCTTTTTGTGAAATGTTGGTTGGACATTGAGAAGTCAAGCCACATAGAAATAATTCCCACTAATTTAAAAATAGGTGAGTCACCTACCACGTTTCAGGCGTGGTGCCAGCCTTTGAATTGGTGCTGTGATGATCAAGCTGTATCAGTTTTACAGCAAAGCGCGGCAAGTCTCAGCTCTTTTCTGTGGTTCTTGATTGTAAATGGATCTTTAACTAGGAATATCTAAACCCCTAAGGGTGGTGATACTGGGGGAAGAATTATCTCCATTTTATGGAAACAGGGTCGTTGCTAAAATGCCAGACAGCCTGCCTTGGACTGGTTAAAGCATTTACTTAAGTGGAGGCAGCTGTGTGTATCAGAAAACGCCTCCTGTGGCTGGTCTGTGCCTCATACTAGAGTGCGAGTTGTCCCCACTGGTTCTCTTCCCATCCAGCTGCTTGCTGATGTGCCAGGGAGAAGTCAGACAAGCCTCTGGCCAGCCCTGCCCATTGAAGCCTTTGGAGAGTGAATTAGCACCTGAAAAATCTGTCTCCCTGTTCTTCCTCCCGCTCTGTAACACCACCTTTTACATCTTTATATAAAAATGTCTCAGTGTATAGTAGAACTTGCTTGCTTTTCTTCTCTAACCTCAGCTAAAAAACATCAATTCTGAGAAGACTAGAAAATTTCCTATCTTGGTGCTTAATGAAAATTGGTTGTGGGCCCGGCACGATGGGCTAGTGGCTACAGTCCTCCCCTTGAGCATGCTGGGATTCCATTGGGCGCCGGTCCAATCCTGACAGCCCCGCTTCCCATCCAGCTGCCTGCTTGTAGCCTGGGAAAGCAATGGAGCACGGCCCAAAGCCTGGGGACCTTGATAAATATACTGTAACATCCCAGTGGTGACATCAGTATTTTCATAGGAGGCTGAGAGTGAGAGGCAGTGTCATCTGGAAACGACCCTCTTGGTTTGTCCTGTACATGGAGTCTAACAGCTGTGGGAGTGATGAGATAACCTCAGGCACAAAGAATAGCAGCTGAGGAGATGGTGCAGGAGCAGGCTTCCGGGGTCCCGGGTCCTGGGGTCCCAGGGTCCCCGTAACCCATTAAGTTAGGGGGTTTCAGAAAAGAGGGTGTGGCCAGCAGTGTCTTGCTGCCAGTGGCATCCAGCCGGGTGGGACCTGAAACAGGGACCTTTTTTCTCAGCCTCAAGTCATTGGGAATCTCACAGCTGTTTTGGTGTTGAAGTGGGAGCAAAGCTGGTGTGGCTTGTGCTTGCGAAGCTGCTGCACTGTTTAAGTGTGTTTGGCTTTGTGGAAGGTCCAGGAGAAGTTAAGCACGGTTAAAGATTCATGCCTAGAGGACAAATGCTTGCTGCTTGCAGAGATGTGGAGCGGTGGGCCGGCGCTCTGGTCCAGGAAGAGCGCGTGCTGCGCATGCTTGTTCGCTCCATCTTTCGATGACCTGCCAAGTTCCAGTCATGAATGTCAGACAGCTCCTCACATTCTTCATATTGAACTGAATTAGTTTCCCTCTCAGGCTACATAACTTGTTAGTATTTGTGCTTCAGGTTTATTTTTGTTTATGTTGAGATATAATTTATTTGAAAGCCAGTGTGAAAGAGAAGGTGATCAGTTTTTCGTTGCATTTGGTTCATCATTACTTTAAAATACTACCTCATACACGCTGGGAAAGCTCAGTCTTACTGTTTTTGGTGGATTTGTTCATAACGTAGTGGAAACTTGCATAATGATGGTTAGATCCTCAGCTTTGAGGTGGAATTCAGATGAATACCCACAAGAAGAATGTTAGGATGTCTGCATATATTAGCATGGCAAATAAGACACCCATAGTGATATGTAGCCTCTAAAGAAAAATAGATTATGAGGTATACACATCTTTAGTTTTGTTTTTATGGGGTTAGATATCTTTTGAGTATGATGCGGATGTTATATTTTCACGTAATACTTGAAGGCTGTACTGCTTTATTTCATGGTGTAACTGTGGGTCATGCAGTGGAAATTAAGGAACTGTTGTGTGCTTTACAGTTTACTGGATTAAGAGACTTGCTGTTGTGGCTTTACTTGAATGAGCAGTCAGGTTGTCAGTCCCTGGGATGAGTGATTTGTCCTTTGCACTGTCATCTACACTGGACAGCATAACGGAGCCCAAGCGACCTGCTCTTACAATTGAACTACCGCCGACCTGTGCCCTTTTGTGTGTGTTTTAACCTATTTCTAACAACTGTAATGGCTATTGTTTTTGCTAGATGCTAAGAGAGGGGAGGGATAACAATAAGCACTTCCCCTGAAATGAGGACTTAGTCCACGGCCTCATGTGAAAGAGGAATGAGGACTGACGGGCCTGGGACATTGGGGTTAATTTGCCCTCCAGATGTGTACATGTCATAGAAGAGTGCTGGTTCCTGTTGCAGCTGCTCCACTTCCAACCTAGCTTCTTAATAGAGCATCCCAGGAAGGAGAGAATTATCCTTGTTCTGGGGGTGTGGGTCCCCATGTGGAGACACGGATGGAGTTCTGGGCTCCTGTCCTGTGCTCTTTAAATGAGGGGAGTGTGTGAATCAGTATTGTATCAAATATATAAACCTGTAGCAGGAATTTTTTTGTATGTACTTTATTATTATTTTTTTTAGTAAAAGGCAGAATTATAGAGAGGGAAATACATACAGTGAGATCTTCCATCTGCTGGTTCACTCCCCAAATAATCACAATAGCCAGAGCTGGATCGACCTGAAGCCAGGAGCCAGAGGTTCTTTTGGGTCTGACACATGGGTACAGAGGCCCAAGTTCTTGGGCCATCCTCTGTTGCCTTCCCAGGCCTCCAGGGAGCTGGATGGGAAATGGAACGACCAGAACACGAACCAGTGCCCATATTGGATCTTGGGGGATGCTAGGCGAGGATTTAACCACTAGGCTATTACACCAGGCCCACTTTTGAAAACCTTGAATATGTCCTGTTTTAATTGTTTTTTAAAAGATACATTTTATTTGAAGGTGAGAGAGGTAAAATCTATCTGCTGGTTCAGTCTCCCAAATGCCTGCAGTATCTGGGACTGGGCCAAGCCCACACAGGAGCCAGGACTTCCATCTGGGTCTCTATTGTGGTATCAGAAACCAAAGAACTTGGGTCATCATCCACAGCCTTCAGGCACGTGTTGAGGAAGCTGGATGAGAGGCCTGGAGTCCCTGGGGCTTGAACATGAGTTTCCTGTATGGAATGTGGGTGTCCCAGGCAGCAGCCTCACTGTTGTACCATGGTGCTTGCTCTCCGTTTTCTTAATTATGGTTCAGTATGGTCAGTTATTTTTGTTTTCATTTAGTGATTTTAAATTTTATGGAATTTTCATGCACATTTCACATTTCTTTTTATAACCAGGAACCTTTTGAAGATGGCTTTGCCAATGGGGAAGAAAGTACTCCCACCAGGGATGCTGTGGTCACATACACTGCAGAAAGTAAAGGCGTCGTCAAGTTCGGCTGGATCAAGGGTGTGTTGGTACGTGTGGGTGCATTCAGTCAGTACAGCAGTTCAAGTAAAATACCCTACTGTCTGGGGAGTTCCCAGGGGAACTGTGGTTTTCTTTTTTTTTCTTTATTTTTAACTGTCTTACCTGAATACCCTGGAAGACCAAATTAAATACCTAGCATTTCACATTTTTTGGATATTAAATTCAGTAGCAGAGATATATTTAAGACTTCAACCAAGTTATGTTTATTTTTATCTGTAAATTGCATTATTTCTTGTGAAATCTCATATTGTCATTTTGTGGAAATTCATAGTGAAGCTATCAAATTAATGAGGGCATCAAAATTGAGTGCTGAGCCAAATCGAGCTGAGCTAAGGCGGCCTCCTTTCCTGGAGCCGCATTGTCTCAGAGAGAGTGTAGCAGCTAACAGGCTACAGAGGAAAGCAGAACCCTTTCACCTTGGTAGACATTTTAAGAGTTGGAGGTTTATTGCACCTTTCTTTTGTTGCTTTTGATAATTGTGATGAGCATTTTGATTTACATGTACATACTTTGTATGTTTCATACTTTGATTAAGTGAAGTATAAGCTATCTTAAGTTCTTTTTAAGCTCTTAAAGAAAATAAAGGGTACAGGTAGGACTTAGGCTTGAAAAGTGCATATCCTGCACAGTGCCGAACGCATGTAATCTGCTTCTAACTACTGTAGTGTTAACTGCTGTCGCTGTGCTTGGTTTGTTTTCTCCATTTGTGACATGGCCTGTGTTTCTCATCTAGGTACGTTGTATGTTAAACATTTGGGGTGTTATGCTCTTCATTAGACTGTCTTGGATTGTGGGTCAAGCAGGAATAGGTAAGTAAAGTTAGGCTATTTGAAAATAGTGAATAAGCAGAATAATTGTACACATGTGAGCACTCAACTTCATAAAACTCACAAGGGTGAATGTCTGTTTCTTTGCAAAGGTCTTTCAGTCGTCGTGATAATCATGGCCACTGTTGTGACAACTATCACGGGATTGTCGACTTCCGCAATAGCTACTAACGGATTTGTAAGAGGAGGTAAATTCATTCTTTTCACATTACTGTTAGATTACTGTCACCAAGTGAGGATTAACTCAGTTTTGTCTTGATAGCAGTGACGTGTCAGATCTCTCTAGATGAGAAAGTTTTACTTAGTACTTTGTTTGAATGCAACATTTGTTGTTGACTCATACATGTATGTTTAATATTTCAAAATGTGCCCAGCATATTTGGAAGCAAGAATGTAACTCCTACCCGGTCTATTGTTCACTGGCACTGTTGACTTAGAAATGTACACGTGGCATTTGCTCAGGCCTAACTTCAGTCTCCACAGTTAGCACAGAAGTTGCAGCAGAAATGGACTGGATATCACACACTTGCAGGGGATCAGGAGGTCAAAGAATTTCTTAATTTTCCTTAAATCTTAGAATCGAGATTATAAGTAGAAAGGGGCAAAAGCCATTGACAGCATAAACTTTGGATTATTCTCCATTTGAATCAGAATTTCAGAAAGTAATAGGTTTATCTTGATTGTTGACAAGTTGGCAGGTAATTTATATTAAGCTAGTGTGATAATGTCCAATTATGAAGGCTAAGACAAAATGTGGAAATATGAAAGATTTGTGGTGGAATAGAAGTTAAAAGCTTAGAAAATACAAGATGCTTAATTTCAGGTATGATTAGAGTCTAGCAATAGGTCTTTGTATTGTGCTGCTTCACTCCCTAAGTAGCCACAGTGCCCTTAGCTGAGCTGATCTGAGGCCAGGAGCCAGGAGCTTCTTCTGAATCTCCCACACAGGTGCAGGGCCCAAGGCTTTGTATTGTCCTCGACTGCTTTCCCAGGCCACAAGCAGGGAGCTGGATAGGAAGTGGAACAGTCAGGGCATGAAGCAGTGCCCATATGGGATGCTGGTGCTGGCAGGTGGAGGATTAGCCAGTTGAGCCATCACACCAGCCCCAGGCATTTAGGTATTTCATCATATGGTTTAATGATCATCGTACAAATATATATAGTTTTATATATTAATAAAAACTTAAGCTTTATTATAACTTAGAGGCTATACTTAAATTAGCAAATTAGAGGAGCTTTTATAGACTTCAGGATCGTTAGACTGACTCCAAATCCTGTTAACAGGTTTTTAAGTTAGAAACATATTTCAGGGCTTGTGCTGTGGCTCAGCTGGCTAATCCTCCAATCTGGCACTGGCATCCCATATGAATGCCGGTTCATGTCCCAGCTGCTCCACTTACTGGCCAGCTCTCTGCTTGTGGCAAAGCAGAAGGAGGGCACGTGTCGCAAGGAGCTGGATGACTCTCGGGCCCTGTTTTTGGGTTGGCTCAACTCCAGCCATTGTGGCTATTTGGGGAGTGAGCCTCTCTGTACATCTCCCTTTCAAATAAAAGTCAAATCCTTAGTATTTGAAAACCAGAAAGAAATTTCATAATAGTTCATGTAATTTGTTTATTCTGCCACTTTGGCAGGATTTGTTAGAACACATGCATCACCTTTTTGGGATACCATTATTTGCTATTCCTTGCAGTTTGTGACTTTTCTGTTTTTTTTTTTTTTTTTTCTGTGATAGTCATGTTACCTGCAAATGGACATACTTGAAGTATCAAATTATGTTAACCAGTTTTTGTTAGTTTAAATGCATTACTGAGGTAATCACTGGGGAATGGTCTTGGGGTCTGCGGAGAAGGGTCTGTTGCTCGCATTAGGTTGAACTTAGGAAGAAGGAGGTAATTTGGATGTTCAGGCTGAAGAAAGTGATTGTGAAGAATTCCTTTTGGTGGTTTCTTGGTGAGAACACATTTACCTACTTGTGTGTTAATTTAACTGCTGTGATTATTTGATGAATCTGCTTTATGAACTCTAACTTCTTTTCATTCTTTGTTTCTTAAGGCGGAGCATATTATTTAATATCCAGAAGTCTAGGACCGGAATTTGGTGGTGCGATTGGTCTGATCTTTGCTTTTGCAAATGCTGTTGCAGTTGCTATGTATGTGGTTGGATTTGCAGAAACTGTGGTGGAGTTGCTTAAGGTAATTCAGCTTTCTTCAGTCCTTTGTTTCCCAAATCATTCTTGAAGGCCTGTGTGCCATCTGATCCTGTGGAGGGTAGGAAAAGCAGTGGTGTGCTGACCACGAAGCATGCTCCCCAAGAAGCTTGGTGTGGAAGGTAGGTACAAGGGTTGCAGAACATCAGCTGCGGGTAACTGCGGCAGGCCTTGAGACCTGAGAGCCAGGGCAGGAGAAGCACTTCACCTGTTGTGTAGGGTGGAGTGGAGTTTAGACATTAGATTGGAAAGGCTGGGTGTGGTGGGAGAAAAAGAGAAGAAAAGCCTGAAAAAGGTGGAGTATTGTGCAGTAAAGAAATGACATATTTCTAAGTCTTTAGAATACAAATAGCAATACATTTTTAGAATAAAGGCAAGAGAAAGGCTCAAGTTGAGCAGAGTCTTGTTTGCAGTTAACTTTGGAGCTCACCTTGATTGGAATTTTGGCCATGATATAGCCAAGCACTCTAGAGAGAATAGACTTAAGGGAGCATAAAGGAAAAGAAAGCCATTTAAGATGCGACAGCTGGCCCTGGCATGATAGCCTAGTGGGTAAAGTCTTCACCTTGCCAGCGCCAGACTCCCATGTGGGTGCTGTTTTGTGTTCCAGCTGCGCCACTTCCCTTCCTGCTCCCTGCTTGTGGCCTGGGAAAGCAGTTGAGGAAGGCCCAAGGCCTTGGGACCCTGCACCCACGTGGGAGACCTGGAAGAAGCTTCTGGTTCCTGGCTTCAGATAGGAACAGCTTAGCTCTGGCCATTATGGCCACTTTGGGAGTGAACCAGTGGATGGAAGATTTTTCTCTGTCTCTCTGCCAGTCTGCCTTTCCAATAAAAATAAATAAATCTAAAAAAAGCGGCAGCTGTTCTGGGAGAGGAAATGGAAGCTTATGTTTGGAAATGTGTGCGACAATGAGAAGTTTTGAGGAGGTTGAAATGTATGTGCTTGACCGTGCAGGCATGTGGGAAGTCAGAGAAATTGTATTTAAAATGTAAACCCTAACTTCTGATGGGGGATTTGCTGTCACTGTGAGATTGCTGAGACACTGAGTGGAGCTGGCCAGAGGGTAGTTAACCATTGCTATGGAGTGAAGAGCTTGTTTGAAATCCCTGGGATGTGTGTGGTTTAAGAAGGGTTACGAAATGAGAGGATCCTCAAGTGACACAGCTGCTGTTAGGGAGTACCTGCCCTTCCCCGGGAGTATGGCGCCCATCTTTGCTTGTGCAGGGATGGGTGTGTGAGGTAGCGCCTTGCACTCTTCAGGGCTCATACTCTTACCTCTTACATTGTCCCCGTTGGAATGTCTTTATTTGGCATTCAATATTTAAGGCTTACTCTGAGTGATTGGTGATTAGAGTTTAAGAGTGTTGTTATCTTGTGGAAGATCTAAATTTAGCTCTGGATTTGAAAAATATTTGAAAATAGAATTGTATGTAGATGTTGAACTATATATATAAATATATATATATATAGCTTTAGTGTCGTGGTTTGTGACTCTAAAAACTGAACAGTAGATTCATGTTTTACTACTACCATTCCCCACTTCTGCAAATAGTTTTGAGGTACAGCTATCTAAATGTTACAGTGTGTCAGATGACAGAGATACCCCACTAATTTTTTAAAAATATATAATTAATATGTGTAGAATCAAATCGAATCCATCCAACTTTTAATTTAAGAAGACAAAAAAATGACCTTTGATACTGTATTGGTTAAATAGTAACACTTCCTATGTGTTTGATCAGCAAGATCTTTAAATCTGGGTCTTTCTCTATTTAATTTTTGTGGTAAGCTTGTTTTTGTTAATATCAAGCTTTTTTTCTGCCCTTATATTTGACCTCTTTGAATAGATTTTTTTTGGAAAGAGCATTCAGTATTTTTTAAAAGAAGCAACTTCAGGATTATAATACTCTTGTGTACTTTTTTCAGTTGTATTTTGATATACTCATTGTAAGTTATTCAAAAAAGAAAACCTAAGTAATTTGAATGTTTTGTGCCTTTTATTGTGTTACTGAGAAGAGGTGATTCATATGTTCTTCCTAGATTGATTAGAATTTTGCAGTCGTTAATTTTGATCCAGGTGATGATGACATTAAATAGACTTGATATGATAGCACCAATAATGTGGTGAATAGAATGGGAATAGTACATAGTTTTGAACAATAATACAAAGGTATATTCACCTTTCTTCATTGTTCAATGTGACAGCATGAGTTTATAGCACAATGAACACAACTTACGTCTCTGTGTAACTTGTAGCAAAGTTCTAACTGGTATACTACTTAGTCACAGTGTTTTGACTTCTTTGAAGCATTTTCCTTTTGTTGTTTGAGTCTGTGCCAATCACAATAATGCCAGCACCCACACATCAGCTATCAATAATTTAATCAGATGTCATTAGATGTTGAAGTTCCCTTTAATAGATAGTAATTAATTCCTTTGCCTTAGATTTTCCATTTATTTATGAAGTATTTATTCATGTGCCTGTGATATTTAATGATTTGAAGAATGTATATTAAGTAATATTAGTCCTTATTTGTAATTTTCTGTTTTAGGAACATTCCCTACTTATGATAGATGACATCAATGATATCCGAATTATTGGAGCCATTACGGTGGTGATTCTTTTGGGTATCTCAGTAGCTGGAATGGAATGGGAGTCAAAAGTAAGTCCTGGTAGCGACACATGCAGACAAGCAAATTGGGAAATTGGAGAGCTTATGTTTTGGGAACACGCTGAACTATGGTAGTATTTCTGATTGTAGTGGTATCTAATAGGCTACTTTCAAGAGGGGTTTATGTATAATAAGTTATATGCTATTTCATAGGGATGAGGAATATATGGCGTTTGTAGTAAGTCTAGGATATAGTTGAAGTAATACTCTTAAAATATTGAACTTCTTATTTCACACCCAATCTCATTTTGTGTTATGTAGAAACTCTCAGGTCAATAATATTGTTTGGTGGCTACAGTGAAGTGTTTGGCTTCCCATTTTGTCTAAAAGTTAGTATTATAGCAGCCATGAGGCAGTAACTGAAGTGTGAGAGAGCTGTTGCTGCTCTTTGCGGCTGAGGTCTCCAAAGGCAGCATGGAGCTGCTCCTTCTAGAAAGAGGGTGGTGAAGTCACATGTTCAACGGCAGAACAGCCAGGAATGATCTGTGTCTGAGTGTGCCTAGATCGCAGCACAGCTGTGCTCTCCGTTGTAATGAGTATCCCTAAGGAACATACTGTTTGTCATATTTGCTAAACCACAAATTAGCAAAATTTGAAAGATAACTTTTGTAAACAGTTAAGTCTTTGTTTTTAACAGACTGACCTTATTGATAGATCTTAGAACATGACTGACATGTTAGTTGTTCTTGTTCCCACAGATGATACCTGCTGTCCTGAGTGGTCAGTTTTGCTGAGGAAGGGGAGATACTGGTTCTAATCAACTAGCCTTTTCTTAGTCCCATTGGTCCCACTTCCATCTCAGCATTTTCCTTCCTTAAGTAGTCAAACACTGGCACTACATTTGTGGCGTATTCATTCTTCATGTCAAGACTATAGGGTGGATGTTTGGTGCAGCCCTTACACTGCTTGGGACACAACCTACTAAAAAAGAATACCTGGGTTCGATTCCCATCTGTGTTTGTAACTGCACACTGTGAGTCCCTGCCACCCACATGGGAGACCCACCCTTGAGTGCTGGGCTCTGGCTTTTGCTGGCCCAGTCTTGGCTTTTGTGAGCATTTAAGGAGTGAACCAGCTGAAAGGAAATGGTCTCTTGTCAGTCTTTCTCTCTGTCTTTCCAGTAAAGATAGGTATTTTAAAAATCCATCACAGTAAACAAAAATATGGCACTGGTAAAGAGAGGGAGTCAGGAAAGAGGGGTACACAGTGCAAAGCCTGTGGTGTTTTGGAACTGTGAGAGAGATGTCTGGTTTACAGGAGGGCCTGCATGTGCACAACTCACTTCAGATAGATGTGGTAATAATCTGGATTTTTGCTGTCTGGTTTTCTCTAGTATATTGTCCTAAGACATTTTTTTTTTTTTTTTTTAAAGAACGGTTCGTTTTACATAAATTGAGTTCTTCCTTTGTACTTGGCACTCTTTAAGGCACTGGCAAAAGACATAAATCCTTTTCCTTGTGGAATTAGTGAAATGAAATCAAAGGATCGACACAAGATGTTTGACTTTGATGTTCAATGTTTGAATTGCAGGCTCAGATTGTTCTTTTGGTGATTCTACTTCTTGCCATTGCTGACTTCGTCATAGGAACGTTTATCTCACTGGAGAGCAAGAAACCCAAAGGTTTCTTTGGCTATCAAAGTAAGTCAAAAGTATGGAATAATTTTTGAGGGTGGTACATACTACAGCTTCCTGTTTATTAGATTCAGTGAGTATGTTTTAGGTATTTTGCAGTGTAATTGAGTTTGCTCCCATGATTCACACTAATTTGCCAGTTGATTTAATTTTACCCACTGTATACTACACAGCTGGAAAATATATTTCTTCATGAAACTAATTCATGTTCTCCCATAACTTTTATTTTTCTTTTGTGTAACTTGGCATTTTGTGTATGTTTTCTACTAGTGAAATTAATTGTAGCTTGTTGGTCCCTGAAGATTCTGTGCCTTTCCGGACCTGTTCATGGTGCATTGGGAAGCCAGAGACTGAACTGCAGTAGTGTTTGTACAATCCTGTCACTCAGATGCCTTGCCCCATCTTCCTCAGTGGGTTTACCCTATCCAAGCCATGGAAGAAAAGGCCTAGTTCTGAGATGATTCACCCATATCCAGTCAGATCTGTGCAAAGATTTAACACAGAAATCCACAAATTTACTTGAAAAAAAATAAATGTGCTGAGAGCCACTGCGCCTTGCTGCTGACATGGCAGCCTGTAGATGTGCTGAGGAGCACGGACTGCAGTTAGGAGGGACTCGTAATTTTTAGAATTGTACATTTTTGAAATTTACTTTGGTCATTTATTTCCAAAAATGCTAAAAAATTGTACTTATTTGTTGCAATATCCTCAGTAATAAGACATTTTCCGCTTAGAACTTTGGTTAGCTTTAACATATTGGCAAATTCCCAATAACTCACATTTTAAATGTACTTATTCATTCAACATCTCTGACAACTTACAAAAGAATTACAGTTTGGTAATGTCCTAATACTTGCATACAAATAGCTCTCACCGTAGTGAGTGTGCCTTGACTTAGAGGATTAGCACTGCTTGGCCCTCCTCTCAGTCATAGTAAGGTATTGTCAGGAGTCGGCAGAGTGTGTGCATCATGGCATACTCGTTTCTCTTCTCTGTCTTCTGCCTGGTGTGGGCGTTTTTCTTCCAAGACTCATGCCCTGCTGTAGTCTGGATCTTACTGTTACTTTCTCAAAGGCAACCACTTTGTCAGCTTCACAACTTTGGCCTCTGTTATAAATTTACTTTAGTGAGCCCCATTTTTAAATACACTACCTTTTGATGTTTGTTCCCCTCTAACTAGCACATTTTTTTTCTGTCCTGACAGTTAATTAAATCTTCATCTCCTGTGTAATTCTTGTTATTAAAAGACAAAGTCCAAGCTGCGGAAAACGTGAGCGAAGTGTACAGTCGATCCCTTCACCTTTCACTTCAGTTGATTGGTTCTGCTTCTTAGTACGACTGTCTCGTTTTTGGAGAAGTTGTAGAAACCATGACTTCTCAACCTCTGAGTAGTTCAGCTTTTACATCTCTGCTGAGGAAGAGAGTAGCTCAGGAAATGGAACATGAGCAAAAAGTGATGGCTAACTCAAGATTTTTAGAGCAACTTCCATTTATCTAGTATCTAGAATAAATGTATTGCATTCATTTGTCATGTCTTTGATTTCCTTTTAAGTTTTTTTTATGATTGTTTACTGATCTTCAGTCATCTTTTTTTCTTTTAAATATTTATTTATTTTTATTGGAAAGGTGGATATACAGAGAGGAGAGACAGAGAGGAAGGTCTTCCTCTTGATGTTTCACTCCCCAAGCAGCTGCAATGGCCAAAGGTCAGCCAATCAAGCCAGGAGCTTCTGGTTGGTCTTCCACATGGGTGCAGGGTCCCAGGGCTTTGGGTTGTCCTTCACTGCTTGGTTCCCAGGCCACAGTAGGAAGCTGGGTGGAAAGTAGAGCTGTCAGTGTTAGGACTGGCACCCATATAGGATCCTGGTGCATTTAAGGTGAGGACTTTAACTGCTAGGCCATCATGCTAAGCTGCCCCCTTCCCCATTTTTTAAAATAGATTTATTTAGTTGTATTAGAAAGATTTATAGAGAGAAGGAGTGGCAGAGAGAAAGATCTTCCATCACTTGTTCATGGCACAAGTTGCCACAACAACCGGAGCTGAGCTGATCTGAAGCCAGGAGTCAGGAGCTTCTGCCTTGTCTTTCATGCGGGTTCAGGGTGTCAAAGCTTTGGATGGGAAGTGGAGCAGTTGGGCTATGAACCAACACTCGTATGAGATCCCAGTGTGTGCAAGGTGAGAACTTTAGCCGTTAGGCTACCGTGTCAGGCTCCAGTCTTCTTTAAGACTTCTCCTTCAAGAGCATAGGGCATTTGAGTGTGCTTTAAAGCATATTTACCTGGTTGAAAGGCATAGTGAATGAGAAAGAGCGACAGATGGAGAGACAGAGTCAAGCCACATCTTCCTTCCATTGGTTCTCTTCCTAGATGGCTAAAATAACTAGAGATGGTAGGCTAAACCCAGGAGCCAGTAACTCCATCCTGTTCTTCTAGAATTTTTCTCTGCCTCCTCTCAGGCACATTAGTAAGGACCCGGAAGTGGAGGAGCGGGGAGTGGAATCTGCATGCCCAGTATTAGGGTTGTGGATATCACCCAATGGTCTATTGTAATCCAAAAACTTGGGGCACTACGTCTGTCCCTCCCACCACCTTTTCCCCTCACCCCCCACCACCGCTCCCATTTGTCGTTTTGAATTTTTTTTCCATCTTTCCTAATGTCATAGGAATACCACATACATGGTTGTATTTGCAGGGCATCAAGTTAAGAAATGCACATGTCATTTCTACACTTGGTCAAAGTGATGCAGTGAAGCTTCTCTGTGAGGCTGTTGGCTTGGTAATCAGTGTTCCTGTAAAGGGTGTTCTGAGATGTGCCTAGCCACATCCCTGTCAGACTTGAACCAAATGATTTTGTTATTAACACCTCTCATCTGGCTTTTGTCTGTTTCTTGGTTACAGTCATACATTACATGGTGCTAGGCCACATGTGCAGTTTCTTTGTCCTTTGCCTCAGCATTTCTGTTCGGATGTTCTCGTGACTTGAGAACCCACCAGAACAGCACATTTCTGCCTCTTAACCTGCTGTCAGGTCCCGGCAGACAGTCAGCCACTGCTTTGATGTCTGGCTTTGGGCATCTCGGGCTCTCTGGGTCTAGCTGCCCCTCTGAATGTGTCATCTTTGTATAGTGAGTGTAGTCTCCTGTTTCTAGACTGCACAGCTTCAGCTATCTCCTGCGAGCTATTCCTGCTTCCATGTTGACCCCTTGTACCTGTGTTTCTGAACCTACTTTGGCTTTCATTTTATTTGGCATAAAATTACATGTGTGCAAGATTTCGTATGATCTGACCCTGCTCGTCTTTCCTGTCTCCTTTCCTTCCCCACTTTGCTTGAGTTCTGCATATACTGTGTGCTGACTCTCACCACGCTCCTTTCCCCTTGTCTTCATGTGACATACTGACTCTTGCTCAGTAGAAAGCCAAAGTATTTTGTCTCCGAAGTTTCATCCCTTTATCTTTCCAAATCCACATTGAATTAGCTTCTCTTTTTCTCAGCTGCCATACCTGCTTTCATTTGAGACTGAAGTTGTGTGATGGCAGGAACCCTGCCAGCTTCATTGGATTGTGTGTCTAAACACTTGGGGCTTATTGATAACTCTAGTATGGACTGGTATGTAATATATACACAGGTATTGAAAAGATAGGAGTGCTTTGTTTTAATGCCAGTGCCTGTCTTTCTGAATCATTGAAGGTATTACAGAGTTTTCATCATTATTGAATAAAACACCGTTGGGGAAACTTTCCTAAAATCACCTTGCAAGCTGATGAAAAGTCTCAGTAATCAGCTAACTTACTGTGTGGAAATGAAGAGATCTGTAGGAGGAGTAGTGTAGATTCTTAGGAAGAAAATGCCTCCAGATTAGCATGTTTCTCGTTTTGCTTCCTCTTTTGTAGTTCCTTTGTAGTTCTTTGCTCTCTGGTGTTGAGGGGCTTCCCTCTACTTGGCTTTGCATTTGCATTAGTGAACAAAAGACATGGGCGAACATCATCATTTTGCTACAAACCCCGTGCAAGAAAAGGGAAGCACTAAAACTCCAGTTAGGAACTTGAGCAGTAACCCCATTACACTTGACCTGCATGTTGGGGTTCCATCTGCTGTCCTTCATTTGACAGAACTGTTTTGGTTTCCACAGCTGAAATATTTAATGAGAACTTCGGACCTGATTTTCGCGACGAGGAGACTTTCTTTTCTGTGTTTGCCATCTTTTTTCCTGCTGCAACTGGCATTCTGGCAGGAGCAAACATCTCAGGTGATCTAGCGGTAAGTGTTGCAAAGAGCTGTATTGTTTGTGTATTTAAAAGTCATATACACATATTCATTTTTAAAGATAGAAATAAAAAAATCTTCTTGTCTTCTAGGATCCTCAGTCAGCCATACCCAAAGGAACACTCTTAGCCATTTTAATTACTACGGTGGTTTACATAGGAATTGCAGTATCTGTAGGTAAATAGCCTTACATTTCTTTGTTTCACAGATTTTATGATACATATACTATGTTAATAATTTTTTAACTTTTAAATTCGGAAGTACTTCAATAAATACAGGAGTGACCTACTGTAATTCAAAAATTGAACTAGTAGTGCCGTTTATAGGAATTACCTAAACCTCCACATGTTTTATTGTTTTTTCTCTAGGAGTTTTACTGCATAATAATAAATTAGAAAATTAAATCGGTAACTCTTAAATTTCACTGAGATGTATTTATAGAAAAGCAGTCATACCTAAGGAAGTGAATTTTACTCTTAATAGAATTCTGTTGTTATGTGTGGTGATTATATCTTCATGTAGTAAAATTATCAAAACAATTAAGCATTGCCAGTGCTTTCTAAATTTTATTATAATAGTATAAATACACTGCTTTTGAAGAACCAGAACAAATTAAGTTGAATAACAATCTTACTGTAATTTTACTAAAAGATGAAAATTATTTTAAAATTATTAGATCTTGGATATTTTTAAATAATGCAGGAAATCTTGAAAACTATTTTACTGTTTTCATGAGGAAATGGAAACAGTGATTTTTCTACTAAAGAGAGTGACACTTAATTTTTTTTTTTTGATGGCAAAGAGTGTTATATTTTCTTTAAATGAGATTCTTAAAAAACTGTTTACTCCATATTATAGTGTTTGGTTTACTGAAACTTCTAATTTATGAAAACAGTGTTAGTAAATTTCATTACTGTTAATTTATATACAGTTTCCTGTGATATTTTATGCTTCCAAACCATATTATATACCTAGAACATGTTCTTGAAATATAAGCATTGCTTTAACTGAGCAAACTAAAAACTGGGTTTTACAATAATTTTTTTTTCTGTGTTTTTCTCTTAATTGATGTATTTATTTGAAAGGCAGAGTTGCAGTGAGAGAAGGAGGGACAGTGAGGAAGACATTGTTTATCTGCCAGTTCACTCCCCAAATGGTTGGGAAAGGCCAGTACCGGCAGCTGGAATCTTCTGTCAGCTCTCCCGTGAAGCTGGCAGGAGCCCAAACACTTCGGCCATGCCCCCACTGCTTTTTCCAAGCATGTTAGTGGGAAGCTAGATCAGAAGTAGAACAGCTTGGCCTAGCATGGTGGCCTAGCAGCTGAAGTCCTCGCCTTGAACGTGCCGGCATCCCATATGTGTGCTGGTTCTAATCCCAGCGGCCCCACTTCCCATCCAGCTCCCTGCTGTGGCCTGGGAAGGCAGTTAAGGATGGCCCGAAGCCTTGGGACCCTGCACCTGCATGGGAGACCCAGAAGAGGCTCCTGGCTTTGGATTGGCACAGTTCCGGCCGTTGCACTCACTTGGAGAGTGAATCATTAGATGGAAGATCTTGCTCTCTGTCTCTCCTCCTCTCTGTATATCTGACTTTGTAATGAAAATAAATAAATCTTACAAAAAGAAGTAGTAGAGCCACTCGATCCAAACAGGTGCTCATGGTATACCAGCATTGCATATGATGGCTCAGTGCACTGTGCCACACTGCCAGCTCCTATAGTTGAATTTCATAATCATACTACAAAATTAAATTTCAACTTGATGTCAGTCCAAACAATAACAAAATCTGGTTTCCTAGACTATGTATCCCACACTGTAAAATTGCTGGTGGAGTAGTGCAAGAAGCCACTGTCTCTAACGTGTAGTAGCAGCCAGGCGAGTAAACAGAGCCTTTTGCTAGTGCCTCTTGCGGCTTCAGTGTGGGGTTTCCTGCCACCAGAGCTACAGGGATGAAGTATCAGTGTATGGACCACTTGGAAGAAGCTGCTTCAGAGCTGGAGGGAAGCCCCTGCATTGTGCTGTCTCCCCTTCCCCCAGAGCCATCAACACACATAGCTCTGAGATATGCATGTGAAAATTGAAGAATTGAGACGTGCAGTTTTTTATTGTGGAATTTTTTTTAAACCAATTATTTTACCTCTAAGTTTTTGTTGTAAACCTGTCATTTTTACCTCATAGATGATAAAATGATGTTTCCAAAGAAGTATTTCAGAAAAAAAATATTTCGGAAAAATAGTCAAAGGAAATGTCTTTACTGTTAGTTATATATGAACATTATTACAAATAATGAAATACTCAATTTACTATGCCAGCTTGCCTTTTTTTCACACAAAGGTAGGCAGCATTTCTGATGGATACATGGTAGCTATCACTCAACCTAAGAAAAAGTTGACTGAAGGTATTAACTACTTCCTGGTTACCTTTTGCTTCCTACTTAGTGGCTCTCCTGTTGGGGGCACCTCTTAGAGACCCTCTGTTTTCTAAGGTTTGACTATACAGTACATTTAATCAATTTCTTCCTCACAGAATACCCATCTAAAGTGTTAATTTGACCACGTTGGCAGTGTAAAACATTTGGTATATAGGAAAACATTTCTCCTTATTTGTTAGCACGGAGTTACTTGGGTTAAGTGTGTCTTAAGTGAATCAAGAAACAGTTGCACTCATTACCCACTTTCCACAATTGTCTTTTTGAGGACTTTGTGTGTTTGTGCAAATACTGTTTTTAAGAGAAGGTTCAGTTGCTTTACTTAAATACTGGGAAGCACTGTGCTTTGTGCATCCCGTTCGAGGTGCCGTGACTGTATGCAGGCCTGTGGTACCTGACTTCCCTTTGGAGTGGTAAAGGTGGTGGTGTGAGAGTGGAGAGCCAGTGGTGCTTGGCTTCCCTGGGGTGTTTGTCTAGTTCTCAGCTGATCTTGCATGTCAAGCTTCATGCTTCTCTCTGCCGCTTGTGCCTCAGGTTCTTGCGTCGTTCGGGATGCCACTGGGAATGTTAATGACACTATTGTGACAGAGTTCACAAACTGTACCTCTGCCGCCTGCAAACTAAACTTTGACTTTTCATCTTGTGAAGAAAAAGACGGTGTGTGTGCCTACGGCCTCATGAACAACTTCCAGGTGAGCATCCTGTTATGTAACACGGGCATTCCATCCTGAGGCCTCACTGCCATCAGATATGAGATGTGACCATTTAGAGGGAAGCCATAATTTTAACTTGTATCCAAAAATCTACATAGCTCATCATGCAAGCCGGTATATATGAAAGGGTGGGGTCAGGGCTCCTTGAAGAGCAAAGGACTTTCAGGGTTGCACCGAGTAGCAGTGTAACGTGCATTCAGTGTGCGTGCAGGTGGGACACAGTGGGCAACTTCAGAAAGCAACAAGGTCACCCTTGTTTGTTAGTCCTTTGGATTCTTCTTTTCATTCCCTGATCTTGGTGGCTGTCTTTACTCATGCCGCGTGCTCTTCTTTTTCCCCCTTTCTTAAAGTTTTATTTCTGTTTATTTAAAAAACAGTTACAGAGAAAGAGAAAGGTCTTCCAGTTGTGTGGCTCACTCCACAAATGGCTGCAATAGCCAGAGCTGAACTGGTCAGAAGCAGGAACCTGGAGCTTCTTCCAGGTCTCCCACACGAGTGTAGGGGACAAGGACTGGGGCCATCCCCTGCTGCTTTCCCAGGCACATTAGCAGGGAGCTGAATCAGTAACGGAGCAGCAGGGCCTTGAAACAGTGCCCATGGACTGCCAATACCCCAGGCAGAGGCTCAACATGCTATGCCATGGCACTGGCTCCCATGCCATACATTCTAGATTACTATAGTTGTGTGTAAGTTCTGAAGTCTAGTCACATAATTACTCTCACTGTCCTTTTCCAAAATTGGTTTAGGAATTTGAGTTGCTTTGCTCTTCATACAGAATTTTAGAATAATCCCTATGTATCTACCAAAAGTCTTGCTGAGATTTTCATAGGAATTCTTTTTTTTTTTTAAAGATTTATTTTTATTATTTTTTGATTGGAAAGGCGGATATACAGAGAGGAGAGACAGAGAGGAAGATCTTCCGTCCGATGATTCACTCCCCAAGTGAGCGCAACGGGCCAATACTATGCCGGTCCGAAGCCAGGAGCCTCTTCCGGGTCTCCCACGCGGGTGCAGGGTCCCAAAGCTTTGGGCCGTCCTCAACTGCTTTCCCGGGCCACAGGCAGGGAGCTGGAAGGGAAGCGGGGCTGCCAGGATTAGAACCAGCGCCCATATGGGATCCAGGGCGTGCAAGGCCGAGGACCTTTAACCACTTGCGCCACCGCGCCGGGCCCTTCATAGGAATTCTTTACCTTTGTGCATCAATTTGAACAGAATTGATGTGTTCAGTATTATGTTTCATTTATATCTTTGACATTATTTGTCCAAGTGTGTAGTTTTCAGCATGAGTTCTTTAAGTATTTTGCTAATTGGGCCTGGCACAGTAGCCCAGCGGCTAAAGTCCTCACCTTGCATGCACTTGGATCCCATATAGTTGCTAACTTATATCCCAGCTGTTCCACTTCCCATCCAGCTTCCTGCTTGTGGCCTGGGAAAGCAGGGAAGTATTGACCAAAGCCTTGGGACTCTGCTCCTATGCTGGAGACCCGGAAGAGGCTCCTGGCTCCCTGCTTCTGGCTTTGGATCAGCTCGGCTTCAGCTGTTGCAACCACTTGGGAGTAAACCAGCAGCTGGAAGATCGTCCTCTATGCATCATCACCCTGTGAACCTGACTTTGCAGGAAAGATTAACAATTAAGCAAAGTAAAATTTTGCTAATTATATTGAAGCATTCCATTGAGTTTAGTTTTCTATTTATTGAATTAAGCAATTCTGCACAATTGCCTTATGTATAAAAGTCCTGTTAAAAAACTTGTGTTGTTATTCAATTGAATGTAACCAGACAAGTTAAACAACAATACTAAACCAGCATTTAACTTAGAATTTAATTCTGAGTGATATTTAAAAGTAGGTGAGCTTTAAAACTTTATGAGCTACTTGAAGCTTAATGTTACTTGTCAAGGATTTGGAGACTATTCATTCTTTCGCTCATTAGCTTTAATAAAGTACTGAAGTTAAAATGAAATTTATGGGATTTTAAAAGTTCAGAAGAGATTTTATACAAAAGTTAATTTGAGACTAAGTCCTAGGAGGACAGAAACAAGCATTCAGATTAAAGAAAATACTGTCAGTTTTGCAGAATGTGGAAATCCATGGATTATAAATGAAAAACGTTGCTTCCTAACTTTTCAAATTTTTTAAAAAGATTTCTTTGTTTTTATTTCAAAGTCAGGTATACAGAGAGGAGGAGAGACAGAGAGGAAGATCTTCCCATGATTCACTCCCCAGGTGAGAGCAACAGCCAGAACTTGAGCCGATCTGAAGTTAGGATCCAGGAGCTTCTTCCAGGTCTCCCACGCAGGCTTTGGGTCATCCTTGACTGCTTTCCCAGGACACAGGCAGGGAGCTGGATGGGAAGCAGGGCTGCTGGGATTAGAACCGGCGCTCATATGGGATCTCGGTGCATTCAAGGTTAGGACTTTAGCTGCTAGGTCACCACTCTGAACCCAAGTTTACGAATCTTAAAGAAACATAATGTAGAATTTTATATAACATTCTCCAATTTTATAGTAATATAGTTGAATCATTTTTATTCAGAAGCCAGTGTATACTATACAAAATGTGTAAATTTTACTTTGAAGAGTTTTCATTTAAATTCTTGCTGGCGTTACTGGATTTGTTTTCTGCTGGTAGTTTTCAAGCAGTTGACTGCGTGTTCAATAACTTTCAGTATTGTGCCCAGTTATGTAATACAAGTTTGTGTTGTATAGTCACAAGACTCGGCAGAATGGCAGGAATGAAAGACAGCATTCAACTCCAGCTAATGATTCAGGCGCTTCTGCTACTGATACTGTGTAGGAAAGGCAGCAACTCCGGCTTCTGCCCAGTGACTGAAAGTGCTGGTCAGATTTCTGTGTTGTTGCTTTCAGATCCGTGCCTGGAATGGGGCTGCTTCAGCAAAGAGGAGTTTGGTATAAATAAATATGGTTTTCTAGGTTTAAATAAGTGATCTATATAATTTCTTACAAACAATACAAAATGTGGGGAATCTTATGAAAGTCAAAATTGCTTGTAATTTGGAAAGAATGGCAGATAGAATATAACTTTAGAATGAGTGTGTAAGTGGAAGTCTGATGAGATCACTGGTCATACTTAATATGCTGTTTTATGTAGAACTGGCTTTTTGTTAAAAGATCTAGGCTGTCTGGGTGATTTAAAGCTTTTCATTTATTTATACCCTTGTGTTCCCCATATTTCTGTGATATTAACTTCTGAAACGTTTGAGTCATCGTCGTGTAATCAAATACGAGCTGCTTCATCCTGTCAGGATAAAGCCTTCAGACCTCAAGTTCCTCTGCTTCCTCTTCAGGCTGGGTGGCAGTCACTGTGTGTGCGTGTGTGTGTGTGTGTGTGCTCGCGTGTGTGCTGATGGATGCCTACCTGCCCTCTCCCCTCATGTGGTGCATCTCTGCCTTCAGTCCCGAGTGGTTTATGCATTTTGGCAAGGGATTGTACCCAAAATGAAGTCTTACGCGTGGTGTCCAGTATGAAGTTGCAATCATTTGTGTGGTAGTCTTAAACTGCTTCAAGCCAGATTTCCTTACATCACTGCGTCCAGTTGGCATGTGCTTAGGTAAATGAAAGGTCAGTCTCCAGCAAAGAAGTCCTGAAGCTGTGTGGTGGTCACAGATGTGTGCTGGCCATTTCATAATGGGTGGATCTCTTTCACAGGACAGGAATCCACCATCCAATTCCTCCAGCACCAGTTTGTATTAGAAGATTTCAATTACAGAAGGAACTCTGTAATGAGCGCCTTTTGTCTTTTTTTCTGTTTACTTTGTGTGTATATGTATGTTGCAAACATTTTTACCTCATCCATAGAACAATTAAACATGACGCAGTGAAACATTTAACACATTTTTATGCAAGTACAGTACTTGCTTTTGCTTAAGAAATGTCACATCAGTGAAATAGTTAAACATATGTCCTATATCCATTCCTCTATTAGTCCTAATAATTGGCTTTATTTCCAAATAGGGTTGCACATGGCATTTAGTTACATCAGCTTAAAATCCTTCAATGGAATTTCTAGTCTGTCTTTGTGACATTTTGAACAGTCCAGTTATTCACAGTACTCCTTAGAAAATTTTGAACATGTGTGCAAAGACACTGTCCCTCATGTACATATTGCTGGGCACCAGTTATCCGTCATGTGAACTGATTTATAACTGCCTCAGAGTATTTACAGGCAACTTGTGGACTCCATGTTCTGTCCTTTGGCTCAAATATTTCCTGTGCAAGCCTGTTACAAGCACAGTACCTATTATGCATTGTCAACAATGTGTGAATCAATCCGATTAACTTTCTCAGCTCAACTACCGGTTTACTAGAGGAATAGAGGCAAGGGGAGCAGTTTAACTCTCTACTATTATAGAGAAAACGGAGACGAGTGCAGCAGGTCGAACAGCACAGGGCAGATGCAGTCTGTAAACTCAAGTGTGGGTCTCTAGGACAAGTGGTGTAAAAAGAATGAGAAGGAAGTGAGACTGTTAGAAAAAGACTGGAAAGAACCATCAGCCAAATAAAATGAGTGATCTTCAGTGGGATCCTGATTTGAATAGACTGTTTTTAAAAAACCCAATGAAAGAAACAGTTGGGATGTTGCCTGGATATGTGGTGCTATTAAGAAGTTGAGCTTTTAAGGTGCAACAAAGGCATTGTAGTTGAGCTTTCACAAGTCCTCGAGTGTTAGATATATCCTGAAGCAGTTACATGTGAGCTGAGAGATGGGCTTCATGTAATGCTGAGACTGGCCTTGCGTTGATTGTTGTTGAAATGTGGTGATGGGTGTTTGAAAGTTCATTTTACTCTCTACCAAAGTGTCTGAAAGTTCACAAAATGAAAAGCTATCTTTATGTACTTGTTTTATTTTAATAAGGGCCAGTAGTAGATTTGTTTTTAGGAATTGGTAGTGAATAAGCCGTCGCTGTTTGTTATCAAATTGTCCATGGGCTTTGTATTCTTCATTAGAAGGATCACGATGTGTTGTTAAGACTTATTTTTCCATTTTGGTCACTTTTACTTAAGGTCATGAGCATGGTGTCAGGATTTGCACCATTAATTTCTGCAGGCATCTTTTCAGCCACACTTTCTTCAGCATTAGCATCTCTTGTGAGTGCTCCTAAAATATTTCAGGTGAGTATTTCATATTACAGGCTTTATTGATGGGACTTAGATAATGCTTTTTCAATTTGCTATTGTTAACTGTTTCCAATTTATTTCCATATGTCAACTACATAATATGTCTGTGACATTCACATGCACTTATCAAACTTGGTGCAAAGTTTTATATATGTGAATGAGAGTGTGTATATATGAACGGGAGTGTGTATATTTCTACAAAATGCCTTCACCTACTGTCAACATGTAATGTTTGAGCTATCCTTATGGACGTGAAGGTAGATCTTGGTTTTTGTTTTTGTATGCTTAGCATATTTTCAAGGTGTTTGACCAAGGATTAGAAGTGTAGTCTAAGAATCAAGTGGCAAACCATCTTGTCCCAGTCAGCATGATGTCAGTGAAAAGTTTGCTTTTCGGTGACTCAGTTGCCAGTCTGCTGCACATTGCAAATACTAAAAGGTTTAAGGATTTATGGGATGGATTTAATGCTCCTTTTAATGAGCAATGGACAAAAAGCTGATGTTGATTAGAAAATACTTTTTATTACTGTTAATGTTGTAGATACTACCAATGAGTGCGATGAAGGTGTAGAATATATTAAAATTATATTCAGTATTTTATGAAATGTCTTTAAGCTTTATAATTTTGTACTATTTTATTATTTATATTTGTAATTTTATTATAATTAGAGTAATAAGAATTTTATGTGTTTTTACGTTTAGAATTTTTAAGTTTTATTTATTTGGGAGGCAGAGTTCCAAAGAGGCTTCTCTAATCCTCTAGTTTATTCCCCAAATGACCACAGCAGCCAGGGCTGGGCCAGGCCAAAGCCTGTAGCATCATCCAGGTTTCCCACATGTGTGGAGGGATCCAGGTAGCTGGGCCTTCTTTGGCCACTTTTTTTTTTTTTTTTTTCGGAGGGAACTGGAGTGGAAGTCAGCAGCGTCCACAACCCAGTGCTTGTTTAGGGTGCTGGCATCTGCCATAAGCCTCTGGCTCAGCTTTCAGCTTCTGTTTGCAAGTTTATTTCTCTCATTTCCTCATTCATAAGTAGGAGATTTTATAGCAGCGGAGTAGGTGGATAAAATCTTTAGTATTCCAAACTAGCAACCCTTCTGCTATTTGAAATGTTCGGATCTCTTTCACAGAGTTCTAGGCAAGGTCATGTGAATTAGGAAAGAATGAAGAACAGAATTAGGAACTTGGGTTTCCTTCAGGATCAAGTGTTTGAGTTATCATTGTGAGCAGATCAGGTGGCAGAGTTTGAAGTGCTTTGTATTCATGTTTGCCTTTCTTCACTAGGCTCTGTGTAAGGACAATATCTACCCAGCGTTCCAGATGTTTGCTAAAGGTTATGGGAAAAATAATGAACCTCTTCGTGGCTACATTTTAACATTCTTAATTGCACTTGGATTCATCTTGATTGGTTAGTTTTATGAATGATATCTTAATGTAGATTTCGATGCATTTATAGTATTAGCTGTAAACAGTAAACATTTATTAGCATACTGTTACTTTGCTTAGTTTACCCTTTTTTTCTGATCAAATGAGAGTACTTATGAAGTATGCAGTAAGTATTTGCTAAAATCATTGCCATCACTAAGGGCTAGAAAAGTTATAGTTTTCTTGATCATAAAACAATTATGATGAAGAACAATGGCTTTTTTTAAACCATTAATCACAACTGAGTCAGTGAGTTTTTCATAGCTGAAAGATTATTGATTTTAAAAACGTAATATTGAAAAGTGTGATGAAACCAGCTAGTACTGTGTGGCCTCGTGGAAACTACCTTTCGTGTTATATTGTGGGTATGTGGTGTAGCAGATTTTCCAGGACAAGTCAGCAGCAACTGGTAGCTTCCCATGATCCAGCAGTTTTTTTTTTGGTCTGTACTTCAGGGGAGACTATGTGCATGTGCCCAAGGAGCATAGAATGATATTAATATCATTAATGATTGTATGGAAAATGGAAGCAACCTAAATCAACCTGAAAATGAAACTACAGTTTGTTGTATCCATGTGTCAAAGTTAGTGAGTTTAATATAAATTGAATTGAAAGATGATATATTAGTATGTGAGTTCAACTTCCAAAACAGCCCTGTGTAATATGATTGTAAAGGCCAACCAACTTTAAAATAGTGAAATTCAAATAGCACTTTCTCTGTGCACATTAAGGTTTGATTTCTGAAATATGGCTGGATCATATAGCAACATATACATATTAAATATGAATGGTGGACACAGGAATGTTTTTACACTATAAACCAAAGATTTAAAATGTTTCCTAATTCTCGAAAACTTAAAATGTCTAATGTGACTAAATTAACTCCTTTTGTTTCCTAGCTGAGTTGAATGTTATTGCTCCAATCATCTCAAATTTCTTCCTTGCATCATATGCATTGATCAATTTCTCAGTATTCCATGCATCACTTGCAAAGTCTCCAGGTAAACTGACATTTTTAAAAAGTTTTATTAATGTATTCTTTGGTTTCAGAGAAACTGAGACTTGCACACATTTTAAGACAGTCTGTGGGGTTAGCTCACATGCTCAGCCTGCCCTGACAGGTGAGTTAAGCGTTTCACATTCTCTGATGTGAAGGAAGTTACTGTCTCTTGTCTTAAAAACATTAGAAATAGCCTCCATCTGATTCTAACACTGTGAAAGAATTATTTTAGTATTCTTACAAACTTTTATATACTATTCAATTGAATTGTTTCAATTCTAAGAACATTGTCATGGTGCCGTTAACCTTTTCAAAACTGCTTGAGTACCTTGAGTTTTGGGGACTTCTGAAAAGTATCAGTGTTTGTTGAAGTCCAGCACCAATTGGAAATGAAGGAAGAATTTGTTCCCTCCAAGAGTTCACAGTCTTGGGACAGGAAAGAAAATGTAGATGATATTTAGAGAAGCGTTTGAACTTCAGTTTTTACTTTGAAAATATTCATTTTATCAAAGTGATTTTTTTAAAATGTTTTTGTTATTGGAATGTCCCTCAGTACCTGTGGAAAAGCATGACCCTGAGCAATTTGTAGAGTAGGCTTAATTCATAAATGCTTCTGTAACTGGGAATACATGAGCTTCTCCAGTCAGCCCAGTTTTCTCTGGCAGCTGGACAAACGTGTAACAATTTTCTGACATGACTTTGAAATATTTGGTAAGTGGCCAAAACTATGAGTATGCCTCAAGCTCAAAATTAAGAAATGAAGCTTTATTATTCAAGACTCAGTGTGTTTTATACCTTTCTAGTTTCAGCATTCACCAGGGAAGGTAGTTACGTATTTTTGGTAAAAGCTGTTAGATATAAAACCAGTAAAAAGTGGTAACATAGAATCAAATAGACATGCCATCTTCATGAGGTAGCCTTAAAGTTCCGCTGTAATTAGCAAGGTTTGCTTGCTTTAGCACTAGGAGTTAGCCTTGCTGTTAATACTTAAATCCCTGTCAGTGTGACAGACACAGGAAATGTGTATGCACTGCCTTGTACGTGCTGTTGCTTCAAGCATTTGAGGTATCATTGTTTTCGGTTATTGTTAGGTTGGCGCCCCGCCTTCAAATACTACAACATGTGGATATCCCTTCTTGGAGCAGTTCTGTGCTGCATAGTGATGTTTGTCATTAACTGGTGGGCTGCTCTGCTGACCTATGTGATCGTCCTGGGCCTTTACATTTATGTCACCTACAAGAAGCCAGGTTAGTAGCCTGTGTTGGTTAGTATTTTCAAACTTAGAAAAAAAATTAGGAGTTTTTTGTTAGTTTTCATCTTTTGTTTGCATGCGGTGTCAAAGCTTAAGTATTTCCAAATACACACAGGGTTTTGTTTTGCATTTCAAATATATTTGGTTCTTGTGAAACAGCTATTTATTTGTATGTGATTCTATTATCACCTATAGATTAAACCAGTACTTTTTGTAGAAAAAAATAGTAAATTCATGTAATTGATTTTTCTGTTAAGTTTATTTTAATATTATTCTTTAAAATGATTCAGATTTGTAGTATGAATTGCACTAAGAAGTGTGCATACACTTACCTGCAGTAGTCTCAGAATTGTGGTGAAGTGCCATAGAATTTACAAAATAATAGTATACAGCTGTGTTTCCCATGAGCCGGAAAAGTGGAACAAACGTTTTAATGAGGAAATGGTTAGTGATTATCCATTGAGTATTGGTCAGAATGGCTCAGTGTATGTAAGGAAGAAATTGCAGGAGTAGCTTTACAGGATATTAGTTTATAACATTGAGAAAGCATTTAGTAATCCAAATAGGAAATGTTGAGGCTTGGAATTATTAAAGCACTGCCTGTAGAATGAAATGGACAGAATTGTCTTTTTAACTATTTTAGAAGCAATTATTTTTCTAACATTTTTCTATGGATTGTACGAATTAAGATGTATCTGAAGTCATCTCTTGACACCAGGTTGTTTATTCAATAAGGAATAAAAATGTCCTGACCAAATCACGAATGGTTTAGTACTATAAATAGTACTTCATGATGATTTCCCTTTTAGACCTTTGGCCGTATGAACAGCGATTGTAATATATTTTCTGTGTTTGTGAAAGACTCTTCACTTGAAAACATAGTATGTCTGCAGCCCTATCGTTTTACTCCAGTGTTAATGTTTTTGTTAAATATAATTGTACTTAGGTTGGTTACAGTCCCCTTTTTAGAAAAAACCTTATTTCTTTGAAAGAGACTGAGTGAGATCTTCCCACCTGCTGTTTCACGTTCAGATGGTCAAAGCAGCTGGGGCTGGGCCAAGATGAAGCCAAGATTCTGGAACTCCATGTGGTGTCCCGTGCGTGTCAGAGCTCCATGACTTGGGCTTGCTTTGGCAATTGACTTCTTCAATAAGAAAGCAGTGTGATTCTGTCTGGCGGGGCTGTGGATGGGTTGTCGCTGCTGTTCGTCACGCTGTGTGCCATGCTCTTCCCCACAGACGTGAACTGGGGCTCCTCCACACAAGCCTTGACGTACCTGAACGCACTGCAGCACTCCATTCGCCTCTCTGGGGTGGAGGACCACGTGAAGAACTTCAGGTACGGGCAGGGGAGCACGGCAGCATTTTCTCTGTGCTTGCTAATCCATTCATTTATTTTTCAGTAACATTTTCATATACTGATATTTCATTAAAAAGTTCTCTTAGTTTTGGTTAGGCTTAGGCAATTTAGTCAACAAAGTGTCAGGAAGAGAAAAATTATCTACCCTAGAAAATGTTAGAAATGTTTTGGAAGTCTCTCATCTGAAATTATTTTTTTAATAGTAGGTATCATAAAGGGTAAGATTTTTTTTTACCTTATATTACTATTAAGTATATGCTAAGTATAAAAATCATAAAAGGTTTTGATCTGTTTTATTTCATAGTTTTATTAGGACACTAAGTATTTTCTTAGGTTTTTTCCCCCCCTACAACTAGCTAAATGGGAAAATCCAATGCATTACTACTAAAACCTGAGCATACAACTAAGTATATTTTGGTTTTATAATAGCTTATCAGTCCTCAGTAGAAACAATTATTTCTTAATCTAATATATTTGTAGTAATTAATGAATTTGATCTACTAAAGCACTATTGATCATACATATTGATCTAAGTTCAGGAATAATAATAGGTAAGTTTTGAGAGATTGTAGAAAAGATAAAAATAAGCCTGTCATCTTTTCCAAATCAGATCATCAGGCACTGATTTTCAAATTGTCTGAATGAAGCATGACTGAACTGGTGACCTATGTTATTGATCAATAATCATGTCCCATTGATTTTTGCATAGTGAATTTAGAACTTTGTCCCATATTTGTCAAAGGGCAAACAGTTATTTTTCTGAAGAACCCTGCAGCTTGGGTCAGTAGTAGGAGGCATGCGCTCTCCCAGCTCTCTGAGGAAGACGTGTGTGTGACTCCCCTTTGGGACCCCAGCTCTCACCCTCCCTTTTTCTTGGAATAAAGTTCCAGAGACAGAGACTGCCTTCAGCGTTGGGGTGTAGGGGCATGGGAGAAAGGGAAAGGATTGGGGGTCTGGGAAGAAAACTTTGAGCCTCAGCATATTTTTGGATAGATGATACTATGATGGAAAAAGAGACCATTCTTGGATGACCAAGACTCACAGTTAACTGACCATCAGTAGAAACTCATTTGCCTTATCATCATTGGAATATTGTGTGTGTGTGTATATATATATATATATACACTGACACACATATATACACACACACACATATATATAAAATAAGACCTATCACATTCTGACCTTTTCATTTTGATAAGTTCTGTCAGTGAACTCAGTTGAAAGAGTAAAAGATGTTCTGCCTGGCCTATCCTGATCATGAGTGGTTGCCTCGTTCCTTGCAACCCTTGTCTCTCATACCGCAGTCGCTTTCTGGGTGTTTGAGGATTTTCTAAATAAAACAGCATGCTGGCCCTGCTGGACTCTGATATAGAATTGTAGGCATTATTACTGATATCCTTGATTTGCTTGTGCAGCCTTCTTGGTCCATCCTGGTTTTAGTTTGAGTAGGTCATATTTGGTTGTTTATGTTTTATGACTACATGTGGCACACAGCTGACCCTTGTCATAGGTGATTGCTGCTCTGCTTTGCTGCACTTCTGTATTGTCTCCTGTCGCTAATGGCTGTCTCATTTTCCTTCTTAGCCCTCACCACACTTGACACAAGTCTTAGTTCCCTTCACTGAGCAGTCTGTGTTTCTTGAAGTATCTTCCCTGGTGTCTCTTGGCTATTTCTTGCAGTTTGGTTCCTGGGTTTAGCCTTGTCTGAAGATGTCCATAATCCAGGGTGAGGGGCTTGTCTAGTGAAGTCTTTAATGTGGCTTTACAGGTGCTTTGAGAAACTGAAGCGTGTTTAAAACCTTTCTAGTTAATCTGATTAAATTTCCCAGAGAAAAATCTTGTAATTGGCTTGAAAGTGAAAGTCCATGTTACCAGAATTCTGAAAATCAGTAGGAAGGAAGCTTGGACATCTTGGGGTTCAGGTGTGAAAGTTTTCTGCCCACCCACCTTTTTCCAAGGAGCTTACACCTGCTGTCAGCATTGCTCATTGTAACAGAGAGATGCCAGTTTTACAGGGCTGCGCCGGGCCGGAGAGTTGTCCACCATGATGGAAATGGTTTTGGGTCCATCTGTTTGTTTCTTATGCATACTCAATGTACTTTACTTTATTACTGCCTCTTCCATAGTGGCCCACTGCTTCTCGGTATTTTTAGGTGCAAAATCTCTTTGAGAATTTTCAGGTATACATCTAACAGTTTCACAGCTTTCTCATGGTCATTTAGGATATATCCTTTTCCTGGGTTGTCAAATCCTGTGTTCGCTATTTGCATTCTAGCTTTTAGTATTTCAATGTTTTTGTGTCCTTTCTTGTTCTCCCTGCTTTGGTGTGTTTGAAAGAAATACCGTGCCTCATGTTGGTTGTGCATGTTTGCTGCACTGGGACACTTAGCATGCTTATATTCTTTGTATCTTGTTCTTCCATTGTTTGTGTGCATGTATGTAAGCTGGACATGTGTGGTCCAATTTACAGTTTCTTGCAAAAGGAAAGAAGGAAGTTGCTTCAGTTTTTAAAGAGGGACATGTAGTGGATTATAGGTTGTGTGGCTGAGATCCACGTTCAAGGCCTGGGAGCCTGCCCTGTACTGAGGAGTTCACAAGACCCATGAGAGCTCAAGGAGATGGCTGAGTGGTGTGGGAAGCTCCTGGCTATTGCCCTCAGATCATCTCAGCTCTGGCCATTGGCACCATTTGGCAAGTGGATTAGTGGATGGGTGATCTCTCTCTCCTTCTCTCTTTGCCTCCCAGAAAAAAAATTTTTTTCTAAGAGTCATCCCTTCTGAGAATCCTGCTGACTTGTTTTAATGACAATTGCACAAGTAAGGTCCATAATGTAATACTTTTGTTCTGGGAACACTCAAAATCAATTTTTGTATTGCCGAAAACATAAACTTCTCTAATGTTACTTAACTGCTTCATCTTAAATTCAGGCCACAGTGTCTTGTGATGACGGGTTCTCCAAATTCACGGCCGGCTCTGCTTCATCTTGTTCATGATTTCACGAAAAACGTTGGCTTGATGATCTGCGGCCATGTACATATGGTGAGTAAACTGTTGAACTCCCTCCAAGCCGCCTTCTTTGTGTGCATAACGACAGTTGTGGGGCTTTAGAGACTGGAAGAGACTAGACATAGTCTGTTAGAGCTTTTCTTTTGAAGGTTGTTTTAAAAATATTTGCCTTCCAGAGAGACTGAGTGGCCTTGTCAGATTGTGGCATTGTAAAAGTTGAGTGTTTTTGTCATGAGTTTTGAGTATATTGTGTGCTTATAGAGCCGTTGGCCAGGAAAATTGATTTCTTGTAGATAACTATGGAATCAATAGCACATTTGGGCATTTGTTTCTGTTAGTAAAACGTGCTGTCGACCCTCGGGAACACATGGAATCACTTATTGAACAGAGAAAATAAGGGTAGAAGAGATAGGCCATATCATGATAAATGACTAGCGTGCAAACTGATGTACTTTTTTCTCCATCTATGGATAACTTGAATACTGATGCAACTTGTGTAGCATTTCAGTATGTGGAATAAGAAAATAAGTTTAAAATAATAGTAGACTTAGGCCCAGTAAGATAGCTCACTGGATAAGTCTTAACCTTACACGTACCAGGATTCCACGTGGGCACTGGTTTGTGGTCTCGCTGCTCCACTTCCCCTCCAGCTCCCTGCAAATGCAACGGGAAGCAGCAGAGGATGACCCAAAGCCTTGAGACCCTGCACCCATGTGGGAGACCAAGAAGAAACTCCGGCTTCATATCGGCTCATCTCCAGCCATTGTGGCCACTTGGGGAGTGAAGATCTTCTGTCTCTCCTTCTCTCTGTAAATCTGCCTTTCTAATAAAAAATAAATAAATCTTTAAAAAAAAAAAGTAATAATAAACCTTTAACCAGAAGTTGCTTTGCATTTTGGGTTTTGAGAACAGTACATGGGTTGTGTTTAACCTGTCATGCTGAAGAAATTGTAGTGCTTGTCCGAACAGCTCTGTCCATCTGCTTTTGGTGGTAGCAACTATTGCATGCTCCATGCTGCTGCCCTTCCTGTATTTGCTGTTCCTGTGTGGCAGTGAAGTGAACCCGTGTGAGAGAGAGAGAATGAACTGGAGTTTATTTTCCCCTTTATATTTAGGTGATACTTAAATTTCTGAAAGATTTTATTTTTATTGGAAAGGCAGATTTATAGAGAGAAGGAGAGAAGGAGATAAGGAGAGAAAGATCTTCTGTCTGCTGGTTCACTCTCCACGTGGCTGTAACAGCTCGAGCTGCGCTGATCTGAAGCCAGGAACCAGAAACTTTGTCCAGTCTTCCATGCTGGTGCAGGGTGCCACAGATTTGGGCCGTTCGTCCTCAGCTGCTTTCCCAGGCCATAGGCAGGGAGCTGGATGGGAAGTAGAACAGCCAGGACATGAACCAGCATTCATATGGCATCCCGGCACATGTAAGGCAAGGATTTAGCCACTAGGCGACCGCTGGGCCCCATATTTATATTTTTAATGATCTTAGTATGACTCATTTTCTCTGTATATCACATTATCACATAACTGCTCTATCTTAACAAAATCTGAGAGTTAGTTTGAATTTTTTTTCTCGTTCAAAAGCCTCCATAAAATGTCTTGTCTTTGAAGATGAAAACTTTGCAGTTACTTTTAGGTCCTCTTCTCCCCCTCACTTTAGCTGGCATTCTTTGTGCCTTGGCTGTTCCTTGAATTCTTTAGCAATGTTAAATTGATGGACGGAATTTACTCACATGAAAATTACGTGCTGTTACTAGACTTCTTCCATGCCAGTGTCTAGAAATCAACGTGCAGTATATTCAGTTAAAGAGAATCTTTCTTTTTTCAAGGGCCCTCGAAGACAAGCCATGAAAGAGATGTCCATTGATCAAGCCAAATATCAGCGATGGCTTATTAAAAACAAAATGAAGGCCTTTTATGCTCCAGTTCATGCTGATGACTTGAGAGAAGGTGCGCAGTATTTGATGCAAGTAAGTAGGCTACTTCACACCTTTCACACACTTTTTTTTTTAAGTTCTCAGTTTGTGTTTTCATATTAATCCAAATGAAACATTGTTTTAATATCTTCATTAATGTAGACTTCTAGGACTGGTGTTAGGGTGCTGCGTAAACCTGGGGCCTGTGATGCCAGCATGCCATATGTGTACCAGTTTGTATGTCCCTGCCTCTCCACTTCTGATACCCCTTCCTACTAAAGGCCTGAGCATGGTGGTGGAGGTTGACCGAAGTCTTTGGGCCTTTCCCACAACGAAGCTCTTAGTCTCTGGCTTTCATCTGGCCTAGTCCTGGCCTTTGCAGCTTTCTGGAGAGTAAACCAGTGAATGGGAGAGCTCGCTCGCTTCTCCTCGCCTTAATTCTGCCTTTCAAATAATAAAAAAAAGTGTATCTTTAAAGTGGACTAATAAAATTTATAAAATTTAGAGCCAAAAAGAACACTATTAAATCCATTCTGTTAACTGCTGGTGAAGAACTGCCTTAGCCTGGTCAGCTCATTCCCTGTTACTGTGTTAAGGAAATCAGCCCTTTTGTGCAGTTTTCATTCCCTGTTATTCCTTTCTATTCATTGCTGATACTAGATACAGGCTTCTGTTTGGATTTTGTAGCAGATTGCAGTTTCTTCGTAAATTAAAGTATCACCATTTCTTTTTTGGGAGCTTTGGACTAATGAAGTTACCTATCTGAACCTTAGTTCTTTTAGTCCTGAGGTTGTAGGGAGAAATGAACCCCTTCGGACCAGCGAGCCACAAGCTTTGTGTGATAACCATGTGATCCCGGGGCCACACTGTTGCTCGGTAGGCTTGAGTCCCACAGTCATCTCTGCAGGGCCCTTCGTGGTGTGAGCGTCACAGAGCTTGGTGAGCATAGATCACAAAGGTCTAAGGCATCTTTAGCAGAAGGAGGACTGGGCTTGGCTGGTTTTGCTCTCTGTAAAGCCCAGTATAAACTGGCATAATTTAGATGAACAGAAGAAAAAGTGAACCACTCTAACTGGAAGTTTAATATTTGACAGAGGTGACATTGAAAGGAGGGGCTATAGTAATTGATTATTCATGTGAAAAGTACTAGATTTTTTACAAAGACCACACACAAACCATTTTCAAGTAGTTAATGACATAAAAAGTAATATAAAAAGGGTTTGTTTATTTTATTGCAAAGCAGATTTACAGAGAGAGGGACAGAGAAAGCGTCCTGAAAGACTGAATCCTTTTCCAAATGGCCACAGTGGAGAGCTGAGCAGTCGTAAGCCGGGAGCTGCAAGCTTCTTCCGGGTCTCTTACCTGGGTAGGCACACTTGGGCCTTCCTCCACTGTCCTCCCAAGCACTCGAGCAGGGAACTAGATTAGAAATAGAGCAGTTGAGATTACCTGGCCTCCATATGGAATGGAAGTATAGAAGGTAGAAACTTAACCTACTATGACACAGTGCTGGCTCCCAAAATGTTTGGTTTTCTTTATTATTTTTATTGGAAAAGTAGATCAGATTTATGGAGACGAGAGATTGAGAGAAAGTTCTTCTGCTTGCTGGTTCACTCCCCAAATGGCCTCTGTGGCCAGAGCTGAACCGAAGTGAAACCAGGAGCCTGGAGCTTCTTTGGGTCTCCCATGCAGGTACAGGGTCCCAGAGCTTTGGGCTGTCTTCTATTGCTTTCCCAGGCCCTAAGCAGGGAGCTGAGACAGGAAACAGTGTCCATATGGGATCCTGGCACTTTCAAGGTGAGGATTTAGCCATTGTGCCAGGCAGCTTCCAAAATGTTTTACACACATTTGTTTCTATAATGACTTTATGTTTCTGGAGTCATTGTTTCAAAAGAATTTATCTGCATCTTGCTCATAGAACCCAGATTTTTGTGTATTTGGAATTTTCTTTTCCCGGTTTTCTTGTTTTTATCCATTTTTAACTCTACATTGAATAGCAGAATCACATTGCTCTTTTTGAAAACTCTAGCTGAAGACATGACAGCTATAAAGCAAATGCTGTTTAGGGCATTGTGGTAGACATTGAAACTGTCCTCATGGACAGAACTACTGTGTGGGGTATGTTGGGTGTTCCTGACAAGACTGTTCCTTGTAAGCCACTTTAAAGTCAACTAATTTTTTAAAATTATTCTAAACTAAATATACCTTAAATTTTAAGCAGATAATAAAAATATATGAAATTTAAATTGGCAAAAGCCAAATTAATATAACCAGTGATAATGTGCCTATATCATTATGAATTCTTAGGTTTGACACCAAAAGTACAACTAACAATAGATAGATTGGACTTCATTGAAATGAATAACTTAGTTCATGAACAGGCATTGTCAAGAAGTAGAAAAATGAGCTGCAGAGTTGCAGAATCCTTACATGGTCTGTCCGGAATCCGTGGAACTCCTGTAATAGGATCCAGAGGACAGCCCCGCTTAAACACAGGCCAAGGACTGAGCAACCTTTGGTCATTAAGGACAGGCCTGTCTAACTGCGATGAGATGTGCTTCCTTCTACCAGGGAACCATAATTTGAAAATGGGAAATTTCAATAGGGAAAATACTGAAATAACCTGTATCCCTCAACAGATAAATAGATGAACAAAATGTGTGTATACATGTATGTAACACATGAAAAGAACTGATTTAACTCTGAAGACATTCATCTAAATGAAATTGGCTGCACACCTGTGGACAGATGCTGTGACTCCACTCAGACGAAATTATCTATAGACCAAGCAAATACAGAGACAGAAGTAGACTAAATGTTACTAGGGGCTGGAGGCGGGATGGATGGTTATAGAATTTCTGGGGAGAAATTCTGGAAATACTGGCACTGATTAAATAACATTCTGAGTGTAATTGATATCACTGATTTGTGCCCTTATAAGTGGGTGAAATGGTAAAGTTTTAACCTTTTACCATGGTGTTAAAAATGTTTTATAGGAGCATTAATATGAAATAGAAAAATGTTATGTATGAATAAAATTTTTCAGACTGCTTTAAAGTCTTTTTTTTTTTTTAAGATTTATTTATTTTTATTACAAAGTCAGATATATAGAGAGGAGGAGAGACAGAGAGGAAGATCTTCCATCCGATATTCACTCCCCAAGTGACTGCAATGGCTGGAGCTGAGCCAATCCAAAGCCAGGAGCTCTTCCAGGTATCCCACACAGGTGCAGTGTCCCAAGGCTTTGGGCCGTCCTCCACTGCTTTCCCAGGACACAAGCAGGGAGCTGGATGGGAAGTGGAGCTGCCAGATTAGAACCGGCGCCCATATGGGATCCTGGCACGTTCAAGGCAAGGACTTTAGCTGCCACACTTTGCGCTGGGCCCGGACTGCTTTAAAATCTTAAAGGGAACCATTTGGTCTTTCAAGATGAGGTTATAAAAATAATTGATGGGACAGGTGATGAAAGAAATGAGACAGATTTCATCAGGAATTTATGTGGTTTGTAGAAAAAAAAGATTTTTTTTATTGTTGATATGACTACAGATTCCAGCCATTTGGACTTTATCGCTTTTTAGCGATATATAAGTGAAAATATATAAGTGAATATTATATGTAAGTGATATATATCAAATATATAAGTGAAACTATTGTTCCCGTCTAAATACTCAGGAATTCTTAGTGGTTGGGCTGTGTGGTGTTGATATTAGTGTATTTGGAGCATTTTCTTCACGTTTTGATTTTGTTGAATTCCTCTGCTTTAGGCTGCCGGTCTTGGACGAATGAAACCAAACACACTTGTCCTCGGATTTAAGAAGGATTGGTTACAGGCGGATATGAGGGATGTGGATTTGTATATAAACTTATTTCAGTAAGTATGCAGTTTATTTAGTGATGTAGTTCATAAATGGTTCATTTTTGAAGGCTAGAAGCTATTTTCCCGTTCTGTGTTCTAAGGAATCATGAGAAGTCTGATTTTTCTTTCTACATAATACATGCAAGCACACGCTCTGATGTTTTGCATATGTGGGAGTGCACACTACATTTAAATGGACTTACATGTTCTGCTTTTCCAGTTGCTGGCATTGTTCTAAATTTGCCATGCCCTTTTCAGTAGCATTAATAGTGACTTTTATGCAGCACGCTTCATTTGACAGAGCTGTAACTTTCTTCATGTGATTTATCTGATAGGGTTCTTTTCTTACTGTTGCTTTGTCTTTTTGTTTCTCGTTGTATATGTGTATTTTGCCAGTTTCATGGAATAAACCAGGAATGCTTTTTGCAACGGAACTATTTCATAAAAATGGTAAAACTTCTGCCATGCTTACTTCTAGAAATTTTCATTCATTTCCATTTGCTAACATTCTAAGATTTGCTGAAGAGATCTACTCATGCTGTGTTTAATAAGCTAAGCATCTGCTTACTATGACACCTCTGTGTTTGAACAGAATTTTTCATTTCACACTCATTGAGGCAGTCAACCTAAGATTAGGCAAAGTAACTTTAAGGTTTCTTTTTCTTGGAAAGGCAGATTTGCAGAGAGAAGCAAAGATAGGTCTTCCAATTCGCTAATTCACTCCCTAAATGGCTTCAGCGGCTAGAGCTGAGCCGATACAAAGCCAGGAGCCTGGAGTTTCTTCCAGGTCTCCTACGTAGGTACAGGGACCCAAAGCTTTGGGCCATCCTCTGCTACTTTCCCAGGACACAAGCAGGGAGCTGGATGACAAGTGGAACGGCTGGGATGAACCACCATACACATGGGATGTTGGCACTTGCAGGCTAAGGATTAGCCATTTGAGCCATTGTACCAGCCCCCACAAAGTAACTCTTAAAGTCAAACTGAAGTTGGTTTTTTCAGTTGAAAAAATGAAATTTTTTCTGTTTACCTTTAACATACAGAAGGCCACTGTTTACTGGAACTTCTTTATACCTACATAATTATTTGCATGTTTTACATATGACAGTTTTGTTTTCACAGCTGTTTTAGAGAAGTGTTGGTGAAAGTGCCAGACAGCATACTTGGCTTTTCTTCATATTTTTTTAGATAAAGTGTAGGAAGAGATGACCCCACCCCAATTTTAAGGCCATTTCGTAAGCACAATCTAATTGTAACTTTCAGTTCTTTCCTGTGCTCTATAAATGGAGGTTAGAAAAAGTAAGATTGTAGGGGATTAAAGGTTGAATCAAAACAAGAATATAGAGTATTAAGATTTGAGAAGTGAAATTTTTTTGCAAATGATACTTGACACGTTATTACTTAAGGCTGCATTGAAGGGTGTTTCTGATTCAGACTTTATAGTGTTTAAATTAAATGTCTGTTACATGTCCTGCAGATATTAAACAGGCAGCAGTTAAGGGGTGGATAAATTGGAGCTTTCTGTTGCATAGCACTATAGAAGTTAATGGCACCACATCGGGACCGGGGCTGATACTGGGTGGCGAATCCCCATCCCTGGATGCTGGGACGTTTGGGAGGCCAGGTGTGGCTTCCTCTGTTCTCTCTCTGCTTCCCTCAGAAGTAAGAAGAAGAAATAGCAACTTTGGAAATAATGATTTCACCCATTTATCCCTAACCTTCAGTCCTTCCCACCCTGATCAACCGTATAATTATCGTGAAAAATAAAAATTAAAAATGTAAAGCACTAATGGAAAATGCATGGAAAGTCTTTGGACTACTATTTAAAATACAATGTCCATTTTCAAAAATGTTTTGTTTCATGCTTTAAAATTTTAATGCAAAATATAAATGGGTTCTAAGAGTTTACATTTTGGGAGTAAAAGTATCGTGCAGGTAGCATGGCAGTGCTGTAGAGGTATCTTTATCTTCAGTAGTTTTCAAGGTCCTTAAATAAAGAAACAGAGCGGTGTGGTTTGAAACTCACCCATATCTCACTGAGTAACTTGAAAGCATATTTTTGAAAGTAGACATCTTAATGCTGAAATTGATTTTACAAATGACTGGTACCTTCATTTTATAGAGGATAATATAGAAATTGTTTAATTTTTTCCCTCCTGTTTATAGTGATGCCTTTGACATACAATATGGGGTAGTGGTTATCCGCCTAAAGGAAGGTCTGGATATATCTCATCTTCAAGGTCAAGGTAAATCTTACTTGAAATAAGTTTTCATTTAGAAAATAAAAATTACGCTGAGAAATTTTCAGTCTTAATATGCTGAGCATTTTTTGTACTCAGTTTTTAGTCATATAATGACCATGTATTGTTTCTTGGGATTAATATATGACATTTTAGAAATAAAGTCAGTGTTTTCCTTCTGTTTGAACCTAAGTGATAATTACTGATTGTTAATGGAGAAAAAAGTCTGCAAAAGTAGCTTGAAAGGCAGCATTAGCATTGTTCATTGATTCAGTTCATCAAAGTAGATGACAGAATAGTTATCTAACCAGTTATTAACCCATAACACCCTCTTTAACAGCTAAAATATATCCACTAGTTTAAATACTGTTGTGTCCACAGAAGAATTACTGTCCTCACAAGAGAAGTCTCCTGGTGCCAAGGATGTGGTGCTCAGTATGGAGTGTAGCAAAAAGCCGGGATTAGAGCCTTCCAAGCCATCTGGTGAAAAAAGTGTGAAAGGTAATTTCCGTTCAAACAGAAATTCTACTGGTGATTTGCTTTTGAAAGAGATGGTTTTATTTTCTAATTTGTGTTAGAAAATAATCTGTTCACTAGCGTGGCTTTCAAAAATGGCTGCAAAATGGCTAGCTGTCCAAGATATTATTAAAGTAGAGGATAGCACAGAAAGCACGCCAGTTACTGGCTAAGAGGTCTTAGTTGTTTAGTTGACACATACGTTATATCTGAAACTGGGAGCAAAGCATGGTAACGTAAGACTAGGAAGCCCCATGAGGATTTCAGAGTAGTTGATGTACAGCTCTCTTGTTTGAGAATGACTTCCAAATCTTACTGTCCCGCCCTCACTCTCCTGCTCTATCTAGTCTGGTATCTCCATCTGCCCTATCTCCGGCCGACACGTCTGCACTGTAAATCATCTGACCGTATCATTCCCATTTCCTCAAATTGACAAGCTTGGATAAACCACGTGTCTGTGCAGTTTATCCCTTCCAGGTTACTCAGAAGCATGTGGTTGCTTTTTATTTTTCCTCTGTGCCTTGACTGCTCAGCATAGTAGTAGTTGAAAGTTTAGTTGATAGTTTAGTTGACACCCAGTTACTGTTTTAGTTGTTTGCAACTTAATGATTTCTGTTTTTTGTTTTTGCTTAAAACTGTAAACCGTTTCTGGTGGCAGTGCTAATTTCCCTCTTTTGTTGGAGTTAATGACATACATTTGATTTTTTTTTGCATATTTATTTCATTTGTTTTTGTTTATGGTCCTTTTTACTTGCGTGAACAGATGTTTCTATGCAAAGGCTATTAGGTCAAGCTGTGATAGCAGGGGAGGATGTATTGTCCACCAGGCTGCTGCCCTGTGCCACCACACTGCAGGCATTGTCCGTACATGGGCTCATTGATACGTGTCTATTTTTATAGAATGAGAAACTAGGTCAGTACATTTCCATTCAGCTGTTTAAGTTGGGTACAATCATTTTTAAGTGTCAAAATTTCCATGACATTTCTGAATCATTTTAAAGAAAACACAGAAAGAGATGCCATTAAATTACCTACTTTACAGGAGCAACAGTATGTAATGTGATAAAATAGAAACACTCGTAATTGGGTTGTCATTGGAGGCATAAGGAATTTGCATCCATGAAAGTTCCCTACATGATGTTCTTTTTTGTGTAGCAAGTTCTCAATCAGCGTAAATGATAAAGTCTTGACAGTTAAGACGTGCACCAGGGGACTAGACCCCTCCCGCCGTGGGTGCATACAGCGCAGGGCACTAACAAGGCACTGAGGCTCACAGTTGAACAGGCTTAGGAGGTGAGTACTCTTGACCTGAGAAATAGCGCATGCGCGCGCACACGCAGAAGCAACAGAACCTTGGGAATTGAGCGAAGTGCTCACTGCAGTGCACGCTCTCCCTCCTGACCTTTCTGGGGTTTGCTTGTCATAAAGAAGTAAAACACAAGCTTACAATGAGGCAAAAAGGGGAGATTAGGCAAACTTCCTGCTCGGGAACACTGCGAAAGCTGAAAATGCAAATGGATGGGTTTGTACATACATACATGTGTTTGTATCTAGACCTGCTTGGAAAGAAATGACATGGTGTTTTATATAAAGCAAAAGACTTCTGTTGCTCGTGAAATTGCTCAGTATTTTGGATGGTGATGAATTTTTCCAGTTTCTCAAACACTGTTTCTAAAATTTTGAGTCATCTGGGTAGTGACGCCTTAGCATGTCTAAAGTGTATACATGCTGTCAGCAACACCAGTGTTCAGTTTCACATTTCCACTCCTCAGTCTGTATATCTTAGACCCATTCACTGATCCCAGGTTTGAAAGTGTAAAAAGTTTTCAGGATTCTGTTTATTCTTCGGTAATTACAAGTAAAATTTGGAGGCAGGTGCTAATCCTTCACAGTATAATTCTGTAGTTTTTAGTGCAGAAAAGTCAGTGTTGGTTATTCCTCATGGACTGTTGTCATACGGATTTGTTTATAAATGTACTTTATTTACATCTTCATTATTTTATTACTATAAAAGTAATTAACTTATATTTTGTGTTTCTTAAACATAATCTAGATGAGGAAGAGGATGGCAAGACTCCAACTCAACCACTGTTGAAAAAAGGCAGGCATTTTACATCATTTTATTTTAATCCCCTTTTCATGCTGTTAATTCTTTAACCCCAACTTTATTATTTTTCTTTTTTTTTTTTTTAACCTTAATTTCTATTTCCATGGTGAGGTGATGTTACAGTTATCTATTACAAAAAATCATCATTAGCTCTGCTAAAAAATTCTTAGATTCTGAAAACAATGTTGAAATACTCAAACCCTACAAGCTTTTTGTTTTTTTTGGGTCTTCTTAAGCGTCAGCTGCATGGTTTAAGATGATAAGTCGGGGCACTGAAACTACTTTATTTCCAGTGTCACTTGCATTCTTTACCATCAGTTATGTCAAGCCAAGTCCTCAATTTTGATACTAATATCTTTTTTCATTTTAAAAATTACACTATTTCTCACAGTCGTGCTGCGTTTGGGAGATACACAGTCATGTCAACGTACATGAATTTTGTGAGAAGGAGATAGAGGTGAGAGTTACGGAGCAGTGTGGTTTGGTAGCCATATTTCATCGTGCAGAACCATGTGTCATGTGTGCATATATCACGGCAGCATGAACAGCGCAGGAGGGCCCACCCCCCTGCGTGGGCCTCTGCTTCCACGTGTCAGGGAAGGAGTTCCTGTCGTCCTTTGCCTGTGCAGAGTCACTGCTGGCTTTGTTTACAAACGGGAACTCACTCGGTGCGTTGTCTTTGTAAACCTGCAGCGAATGGGTACCCTTCCCAAGATTTCCCCCCATCTTTCTGTGGTTCAGAGAAAGATGTGCTAGTTCTGCCTTTAGATCTGCACATCATGTATCGAGAGGACAGCGCCTAGGGAATGAGGGGGACCCTCTCCCTGACCCCAGGGAGACCGCCACTGTGTCCTCAGTTCCCAGGTGTCAGGTAGATTCTAATTTGCTGTTAAAAGAATTTTTGAGTTTTAAGTTGAGAAATTGGATTACAGAAGAAAATTTTTCTCTGACTACATGAACTTTGTGCAGGAAGCCCAAAACAGTTTTTCAGAAAACAAAATCCAAAAGATCTATCCATATGAATTTTTTGATTGGTATTTATGACTCTTAACCTTCAGTCAGAATGTTTCAATGTATTAGAGAACAGGCAAAATCATTCAAATGCATTTACTAAGTATCTACATGTAGCCATTCTTAAATTAAAATTCGAAGTTTATGGTGGATGCTGTATGTTACTATCAGCATTATAAATGTATTTGAAACTGTAGTAATAGGGATTTTGACGGTGGTCTCCCTTCTATTTCACCACATTCTTCAGAGTCCAAAGGTCCTGTTGTGCCTCTCAATGTCGCTGATCAGAAGCTGCTGGAAGCTAGTACACAATTTCAGAAAAAACAAGGAAAGAACACTATTGATGTCTGGTGGCTTTTTGATGATGGAGGTAAAGTTACTATGTCTTCATAATTTAAGATTTGCTTAAGTTGTGTAAGATGTGACACTCATTGCTTATATCCATAAATTCCATGTAGGTCTTGCCAGAATTTCTAGATCAAAAAGGGTTACTTTTAAATTGGGGCATAACGCTCAGTTATCCTTCAGTGTGGAAATTGTTTAGTTATCTCCTTCAGCTTCGTGACCTTAGGTGCTCTGTGTTCATAATAAGTTTCAGGTTGTGTGTTTGGGGGGCTGCAGGTCGAGCTGCTCCTGCCAGGACTCTGCTTCCGACCTGTAGGGGTGGTGGTTCATCCACTGAGACACTACTAACCCACTTATTTGCTAAGTGTGGATGTGAAGATTTCCCAGTCCACTCATTTCCTTGTTTATTGTGAAAAGTTCTGTCGTTATGAACCTACCTGCAAAAGTTGTGGGAAAATTGGTTTGAAATCCCTAATTTATTAAGATATTAATATTGTTATTAATTGTACTTATTAACTCTTCTATAATCATTATCATTAATATTGTCTCACCTTTAGCCAGACCCCCTTGGTCTCGCTTCTGTACCTTTTGTCTTGCCCTAATCATTTTCCTAGGTCAGTTTTGTGTTTTCTGTGCAGCTGCTATGGAAAGAGTGCTTTGCAAGGAGCTCTAAAGATTTGGGTGTCCCTGACCCAGGGCTCTTCAGTGGACATAGCTAGGAAGTGTATGTTTGCAGGTAGAAATGATTGAGCAGTGTCTGTCCAGGTCTTCTTCTCCTCGCTGTCTTATGCCAAGTGAATGGGGGCTCCCCTTAGGTTCCCTGAGCGTACTTTCTTCTGCCTTTCCCATTTGTTACCAGGCTGCCCCGTGCTGCCTAAGCCTGTTTTCAGACAACAGTAACACGTTCTTGATGTGGAAGTTAGTGTTTAGTGAATGATTCGTTATGTTCTTAAATCCAGGTTTGACTCTATTGATACCTTACCTTCTGACTACCAAGAAGAAGTGGAAAGACTGTAAGATCAGAGTATTCATTGGTGGAAAAATAAACAGAATAGACCACGATCGGAGAGCGTAAGTTGATCTATATTCTAAACCTCACTGTTAGATAGCATTGATAGGGTAAAAAGCAGACTGTACAGAAAAAGTTGAATTATGTTGACTTGTTCCACACTGACAATCCTAGCTCGGTAACCTCATTCTCCATGATTACACATAACATGTTGGCATTTTACAGAGTGTTTATTTAATGTATTGGGACCTTGGTGTGTGTCGGGTGGGGGGACGTACACAGAAATTACATACTCATGAATTAGGGTATCTTTTGTTCTCTGTGCTGCCCAAGTTCTATTCCCAAGGTTTTTGCCCTGCTTGTCTTTGAGCGTCGTGAATATTTTGTGCACATTTTGTCCACGTTGCGCCTAGTTTCACTAGCTGATTGCTCATTTCTGTAACTTCTTAGTCCCAAAAGGCCCTAACTGTCAGAGGATGCTTCTGTCATTGCCCTCAACTTACCGGCAGTTTAGGTTTTCACACCTCTGCTTTTTTGTTTTTAATCTATTTATTTGAAAGGCAAGAGTTACTAGCAGAAAGGGAGCTTCTTTGCTGCTAGTTTAGTCCCCCAAAAGACCACAACAGCCAGGGTGGAGCCAGAAGCCTGGAGCCCTACCTGGCCAGCACTTGGGCTGTCTTCCTCTACTGCTTCCAGGTGCAGAAGCAGGGTGCTGCAGTGGAAGAGCGGCCAGGACTCACTGGCATGTAAGGGTTGCCCCCACGGTGCTCCTGGCAGCGACTCCTAAGCTGCCCCTCCTGCCTTCTCTTCCGCCCTGTCCATGCGGGTATCCCAGGTCACACTCCTCCCCAGCGAACTCCTTGCTGACAATACTCTCTGCACATTCTGACTTGTTTGTGTTTTTAATCATGTTCAGCATGTTACATAGCAGGCACTCACTAGAGATTGGAGCTGATCATTTCAAACATGAATTAGGCAAGAAATTCTAGCAGTGGAAAAAATAATGAAGTCTGTGGTTCATCTGTGTTCTGATATCCTGCATACAGTTAGTTAAACTGACGCACAGATGAGAAAATGTTCTGTTGTTGGACACCTGTTGCATACCCCAAAGAAAGGAATTTGCTCATTAAGATGTCAGCCTTTTCTGTGTTTCTCCCCGTCACCCGCCCTCGCTCAAAGGCTGAGAACTCCGTCTGTGGTCATCTTCAGTGTGCCGGGGAGGTCTCACCTGCGTCAGGCAGCAGGCACTCCTTCACGGAACAGCACTGCACGAAGTCTCGAGTGTTAGGCCTCGTGGAGGAGAGCTGGTTCTGATTTTGTATGCTCTCCCTGGCTCCTGGCTCTTCACTTACTGCTGATTCAGACCTGGAGTGGTGTTGATGATGGAGCAAGAGACCAGTTTCCTACCTTCCCACATGGAGGCCTGAGTTCCCAGCCCAGCCCTGTGATGGCTGACTGAGGAATAAACCATGAACCAGCAGATGGAGTTTTCAGCTTAAAAAAAAAAAAAATGGCTGTCTCAATGAAAACTGAAGATTTGATTTTTTAAGTTGGTATTTTTATTAGAAAATTAGATTTACAGAAAGATCTTCCAGCAGCTGATTCACTCCCCAAGTGCCCACAATGGCCAGAACTGAGCCGATCCAAAGCCAGGAGCTTCTTCCAAGTCTCCCCCCACGCAGGTGCAGGGTCCCAAGGTTTTGGGCCGTCCTCCACTGCTTTCCCAAGCCACAAGCAGGGAGCTGGAACGGAAGCGGGACTGCTGGGATTAGAACCGGTGCTCATATGCGATCCTAGCACATGCAAAGCGAGGATGTTAGCCACTAGGCTACTGCACCAGGCCCTGAGGCACCAGTTTTTAATCCATGTAGTTTGACTAAAAGTTGCCTTAAAAATTGGCAATTCACATTCTGTGATCTTTTTCTGTCCTCTTATTACTAGATTGTAACCTAGGGGTCAGCATTATGACAAAGCTGTGCTCGCTTCAGCAGCACATATACTAAAAAAAATAGCATTATGACAAAGCAGGTAAAGCTGGCACCAGCTAAGCTTTTATTAGGGCACCCATCTAGGGATGCTCCGATTCTGATCCAGCTCCCTGCTGATGCATCTGGGAAAGCCACAGGGATGGCCTGAGTAAGTACATGTGCCCCTGCACCAACATGGGACAGCTGATAGAAGCTTCTGGCTTGGGCCTGGTTGTTGACAGCCATCTGTAGAGTAAAGCCATGGATAGAACCTCTCTAACCCTCACATTCAAGCAGTCACAGCGTACCTGAGATCATCTGATGTCAGACTTCCCAGGTAGCCTTAACAGTCAGGGCCAGGCCAGGCCAAAGCCAGAAGTGTTTTGCAGTTCTTCCCTGTGAGTACTGGGGTCCAAGGACTTGAGCCATTTCATCCAGAGTTGCAGGCTACCAGCAGGAAGCTGGATCTGCAGTGGAGCAGCTGGGCCTCAGGCTAGGATGCCAGTGATGTGATGTAACGGGTAGAGCTGCTACCTGCAACAGTAGCATTCAGTAAAGGAATGAAGTTTGACAGTAGTTGCTACTTGGGAAATTTTGAAGTCTCAAAATTAGACTTTGGCTGTAACATACGGTTTTATCCTGACGAAGCAGAAAAGCTCTCGGTGCGTGCTTCCTGTAGCTCAGTGCTGTCCATTTTTGTTGCAGGATGGCAACTTTGCTGAGCAAGTTCCGGATTGACTTCTCCGATATTATGGTCCTGGGAGACATCAACACCAAACCAAAAAAGGAAAAGTGAGTGTTGCGATGCTGTCCACGTGTGGTGTGCGCGGCCGGGGCGCTAAAGTGCTCCCACAGCCTGCTTGTCACCCCCGAGTTACAAGGACTGAGTGTCATGGCACGTTTCACTGCCTGTTTGGTATCAGGCTCCAAAAGCTACATGTTTATCTTTCCAAACCTTTCACACATTCTGGTTAATATTTCTATACTTTACACACAGTACTTTATACTCACTGTACTTTGCAGTAGAACACCAGAACTTCTTAATTGCTGCTAATCAACTTCTCCCAAACTTCCAGAAAGTCATCGGCTTTCTAAGCTAGCATGGGTGGCACACCAGTGGGTGGCAGATTTTGAAGCATTTCTAAATCATTTTTAGTTGTCACACAAACCTGATTTTTGGAAATTCTTAAAACCATAGGCATACTAAATGATTCTTTAAAAATGTCCCTGCCCCCCCAGCAAACATTGCAACGGCTCAATCCTTGTTGCTCATCCCCATTTTATTTCTCTGTTTTTATTGCTAAAATAGGGGAATCTAAGAATTTTCCTTCAGAATTCTGACAGACATTTGGAATAGCCTACCTGATTATAGTAAATAGGAATTTCTAGAAACTATTCTTATTATCTTGACTAAAAGTATCTGCGCTTACTTGCCTTCACAATTTTTTAGATTACTTTCTTTCCTTGGCACATGCACTGCAAAAACCTTCGAAGAAGCTGAGCAAAATATTTACCGTGGTGACATGTGCCTAGGTTGAGGGACGTGAGCATATGACCAAAGAGACCTGCTTTAGGAATTAAACCTGTGATTTTTTTTTTAAGTATTGCAGCTTTTGATGAAATGATTGAGCCATACAGACTTCATGAAGATGATAAAGAACAAGACATCGCAGATAAAATGAAAGAAGATGAACCCTGGCGAATAACAGACAATGAACTTGAACTGTATAAAACTAAGGTATTCTGCTTTTTTTCTTAAGTCTTTTTGTCATTAAAAAAAATGACAGTTCTAACAGAAGAAAACTGCGTTCTGTTGTGAGAGGAGCTAGTTGTATTGATACGTGCAGACAGTGAAAAGCGTACGTTTATTACACCAAGATTCATTCTGGTTCCTTTTTGTCCAAGTAATCCAGGAATGACTTTTTCCTGTTCCTTTCCAGACATACCGGCAGATCAGGTTAAATGAGCTACTGAAGGAACACTCGAGCACAGCTAATATCATTGTCATGTAAGTACTTGCTGGTGCTAGCAAGGCTTCCTGTGCTGTTCGTTTTGTGGTAATCTCCTCTAGGTTTCTATCCCATGTACATCCATATAGTGATTAATGACTTAGTGGTTATAAAGAACTATTCTCCATGACATTGAATAGATCAGAGCAGCTGTAGAATTGTTTGATACTTAGGAGAAAAGTAATTGAAGTACAACTCACTCCGGACACATAGCTGTATCTTCATGTAAGGGGTCAGGTGGACTGTGATACGTCCCTGTTGGAAGGATGCTTGCTTCTCTCCAGAAGCCGGCCTCGAGCAGGACTAAAGTGCTGATCCTACTTCTAGTTTCTAGCAAGGAATCAGTAATTGCAGGCTTCTGAGTTTCTGTCTTTATCAGGAGAAAACAAAGAAGTTACCTATTCCCCGGGCAGACTATGCAAGGCACAGTTCCAGCCCTCTTGCAGGCTTTGTCCCTGCCCTCTCTCTGGTTATTAACTATAACCCTGTTACTGCTCTGAATTGTGCTACCTTGGGTATCACCTCCTGGAGCTGTGGCTGGAGGTTTCTGACTAAAATTTTGTTTTGCTCTCTCTCTGTTGTTGGGGGTGAATTTCACATGAAAAGACCAAGGTATTCTCTTCTAGTCTCACACCAAAGAATTTTGTTGTGGATAACTTCACATAAGATTTGTTAAAAATGGAAACCTCCCATGCAAGTATCAGGAGTAGGGAGGCTTCAAGAGAGAAAAGACCAAGAAAATGGTGGAAGTGGTGTCTTTTAAGCACAGCTCAGGTGAGCAGAACAATCAAGAGGGCAGGGACTCAGCCACAGTTGTAATCCTGCTTGATAAAAAGCCACAGCAACTGTGGGACTGGTAACTTCTTGATAAACTAAAAACTCACAAGATTGGGAAGGCAATTCTGTGCTGCTAAAACTTCCCCTTGGGCAGAAGCAAGCTTAAAGAGACTGTGGCATTGAGGAAGGGGGCAGAGAGCCGACCTTGAATGCCTGTTATCCCCTCTGTCGCCTTCCTCCTGGCTGAGTGGACCCTAACACCAAGTTAGGGATATGTGGGGACAACTGCTCTGCTTCCTGCTGAAAGGGGGCATTGTTGGGGCACTAGAGCAAGGTTGACTGGCAGAACTCAGATTTCCTTAGTGGTATGGTCTCAGGTCACCTCTGGAACTGGAAGGCTTCTTTGTTCAGTCCTAGATTAATAAGGCAGAAGGCAATTATAATCTCTTCCAATTTAGAGTTTAAAAGAGCCCAGGTGAAAACCTCAATGTGGAATACTTGATAAAGTTCAAATGTCTGACGCATTTTAATTTAACAAACTATTGTGAATTTTGAAAGTGCTAAGGCAGTTTTCTAATCCAGGTAGGAGATTGGTAAAGTAAAACCAGATAAAAATCACTGAAGTGCTGCAAAGCCTCGGGGTCTGAAGAATGCATATAGCCTAGAAGATAAAGCACAGTCCCTAATACTTTGTTATAGGACATACACAACTCATTGCAGATGGCAACACAGTTCTGGCGCTTTAGCAAGATTTCACAGACGCGTATACACCTGAAGGCAGTGAGGAGCCAGCCGTGAAGTAGCTCCATACTTCTTACAACTTACAGTGACACTTGGCAAAGAGCGAACCCCAGGAATTGATCAGGCACAGAGTACGTGAAGTCCTGAGAGGGAGCCCAGCCAGAGATCCTGTGGTCCAGTGGGAGCAGTTCATTTGGCTCCACTTGCCCCTGGATGCTCCAGGAACTTCTGGATTGATATAAGAAGCCTTCATCTGAGCTAATTTGGAGTTTAGGAAACACTGTTGAAGTAGTTGTAGCCTAACAGAAAAGGGAACCCAATGCCAGTGTAAAGGACAGAGAACAGTTGCTGTCCGCTGTCCAGAAGAAAGTTTTTAGGCTTTTCTTCCACTGTGAGGACCACCCAGGACTCCTGAGTGGTGACCCGATGTGTCACTGGAGCCTGTGATGGAGATCCCTAGGAAATGGCTGACCCCGGAGTTGTCAGCCTTTCCGGGGAGTCACGTCTCCAGCGAGCTCTGCTGGGTGTAAGTTAGGCATGTGACCTTGCAGGTCTTGGACAGCCCACTAGTCCACTGCACGTGCAGCAGAAGCACCCGGAGAGCTCCCTGCTGCTCTTAGGTCCCAGTGCTAAGTCTCTGGAGCCCTATCTGTGGGTTATAAATCACCTGGTCTACAGAGATGGGGCCTGTGGAGTATTGATTAGAAGGTAAGGGGTTTCCTGTGCCCCTGATCAGTCAGGGATTTGCTAAGGTCATGCAAACCAAAAGATCCTGTGTTCATTTAGCAGTCTTAATTTATGAACTTTTTTTATGTACAAGTCAATTAAAATAGATCTCTTGATAACTTATGCCACATAAACAATGTGTCCTTGCCTTAAAGGACAGGACAATAAAACAGTTTCAGTAATAGCTTCATAAAGTCTTTAAATACTTTTGAAATTAACATCAGCCATTTAGAATTACATCCTATTCTTTGTTAACCATACATTCTCAGTTAAAACCTGTCATTTCCTGTTAAATTGTGGATTTATCTGCTTACCGAGCTCTCCCAGAGTACTGAATAGAAGTCTCAGAAGGTTCTTTGGAGCCTAGAGGATGAAACATCCATGCTTAGAATTACAAGTTATTAATCAACAAGAGGTATCTTTTTCCACACAGTGTTTTGTAACCACCTCTGGACCATTTTCATTACGGTAACAGCACTAAAAGGTCATTAGACTTCTGTAACGGGCATTTCTAGCAGTGTTCTATAGTATTGCAACTTAACATTTAGTACTTCTCATCTTGACCACATCTGCAGTATCCAAATTGATGTTGTCTACAAGATGAGAGATGCATCCCTTGTTATCTCTAGGGGGCCTCAGCTGGAAAATGTCAAAGTATCTGGAACTGTGGAGTTTCTGAATGCCCGTCAAGGATGCCAGGAAGGCTTAACCATAGGAAAATAAGTACATATTTAAACTCCGCTGCTTTTAAGCAGTGAGAATCTAATGAGACCGCAAATGCAAAGATTGCTTTAATAGGATACAAAAACTATGTGATTTGTCACCAGAATGAAAATATAAATCTTAGAGAATTAGCATAGTTATCCCATAACTTGGAACAATTTTACAGTGTTAAAATACTTCCTGACCAGTAAATACTGGCACTATGTAAAAAGTTTAAAGGTATATTCTATCAATTGAGTTTCTTGTTCCAGGCATCCACATGCAAGTCTAGTTTTAAGAGACTTGGTTTATAACTTTGAAGAATTACTTGAGGCCCAAATCAGTTGACATTTTAACACACAGTGTGGGCCAGATCTGATCAACATTAAAAATAGTCTTTCAAAGCTCAACAATGGCAGCAGACTTCCTATGACATACTCCCATTTCCTGTCAGTTCCGTAGCACAGAACATTGATTCAGTACCTGAACCCATTACTCATGATGATAAAATACACCATGAGATGGAGAGGCAGAGAATCCTATTCCTATAACCAAGAGCCAAAGGAAAAAGCTAGTATAAACGGCAGGGATGGGAACAAATGTGCCCAAGTTAGCAGGGGTAGGCCTTCAGCCTTTCTCTGGCTTAGGTGGGGAGACAGGTCCAGCCAGTGGTACTCAGGTATTCCCTCTCCTGCTAGATGTTTCCGAGTGTGCCTGCAAGTGTGCAGCCAAGAGACCCCGGCTGAAAGCAAGACAGAACAGGGAAGGGAGATGGCAGATTCCAGAAAGGATGCTGTATGGTCCACCCTTTGGGAGGGCCAGTGCAGCTGTAAGGCTATCTAGTTGAGTCCATTTAGACTCTACATCCCCGAGCTTGGAAGCAAGCTCTGCAGTAGAGCAGAAAAATATGGAGTGTTTTTGTTTAAGCTCTAGGGATCATGGGAATCCCGATGTCTAACACTACAACCCAATAGTATGCCAACTGTAGATGGTCTGTTTTCCATCTGCAGTGAAGCTAAAAACAGAAGTACCCTTCAATTTTTTTCTCTTCAGAGTTTGAGACATCTCTCAAAACTCCATGGCTGCGTGTGATGTCCAAGTGTGTCCCTAAGCCCACAAGGAAGGTGGGATTAGCTCAGAGTACCCACGGTTGCTTCCATGCCTGTAACCTAGGGTATGTTTGTCAGAACTGGACCTCTGTCTGATCAGACATAGTTATCCTTGCTACTGAAAGAGCTGTGACAATTCAGCAATGAGCCTTCCTGTCAAGAATCTTAACAAAAGTATTGAGTTTGAGAGAGGGTGCCAGTTCTTGCTACTGCCTAGGTTGATGACTAGGGTGGATGCAGGGATGAAGAAATGTAGGGGAATAAAGATGCTCCCCAGTAAGCATCTTCAGAGACGTAGGCCACAGCGCCTGACCAAAGAAGGAAGAAGTTACTGGGGACCTGCCTTCATTAAGCCCAGACCCCATGGGGATCGATCTTAGGATGGAAAGGCAACCTGTCTGTAAGAGAATTAAAGCTCTGACACAGAAGGAGATATGTGGCAAATACTGACCAGTTTGGCTAGGAGTCCAAATTTGTGGGAACGGAGATTGTAGCAGTGAAAGAGGAGGACGACTTGTCAGGGTCTGGGGCAGATTGGAGATTGACTGAGGCATGCAGCCTCTGCCCAAACTCTGCCCAGTTTCTCCAGCAAATCGATCAATGTAGAAGGAAAAACAGATTGTAGATTTGGAGCTGTCACATCTTGGGGTCAGATCGTGGAGCCCTCTGAAAGATGCCAGAGTGTGGCTCCAACCTGAATTCCACAATTACTCAAAGACCTTCTAGAGTCTGAACACCAGAAGCGAGAGCAGTCGGCTTACTCACCGTCCACCAAAATGATCCAACGTGGCTGGAGTCAAACGCAAACTGCATCCAAGTGATGTTGGAGTTCCTTCTGAGCCACAGCATCAAAAGTGGGTAGGGAATTTCACATAAGATGAAAGCAACCTCGACTCTTGCCTCACACCCAAGAATTTTCATGTGCACAATTAGCCTATAAAGCAAGACTTAGTATAGACAGACACCTCCCACACAGCATCAGAAGGCGGCCAGCCTTCAAGAGGAAAGCCCCCAGTTTTGGTGTTAAGAGTATGTGCAGTGGCCTGCCTCTGTTACCTGAGCTCTGATGGGCTCAGGCATGGGGCTTGTGTCCTTACCTATAGACCTGCAGAACCAGGCCACGTAATGCGCTCTGAAGACCAAGTATTAGTAAAAGGTGCTAAGACCTTAGAGACCTCCCTCAGTGGACTGCCATGCACAAAAAGCAGTTCATTGGATTCATGTTTCATTAATACGTGTTTAAAGTTTTGATTTCTGAATCCCATCACTATTCCAGGAGGGAAAATCTCACAGATTTACTGTTAGTTGCTAAATTAATTACCATGTGTAGAAGTTTTTATTTGCTATTCTTAGAGGGGATTTAAAAAAAATCTTTCATGGAGACTGACAAATAGAAAGAGTTGCCATTATGTACAGCATGTAATTATTGATTCGATTTGTTACTCTATACACCACTGACTCCCTTTTCTTTCTGGTGCCAGGAGTCTGCCAGTTGCCCGCAAAGGTGCTGTGTCTAGTGCCCTCTACATGGCCTGGTTGGAAGCCCTGTCTAAAGACCTGCCACCCATCCTCCTTGTCCGTGGGAATCATCAGAGTGTCCTTACCTTCTACTCCTAAGTGTGCCACGCAGCGGACAGCCCGAGGGAAGCAACGGAACTCTACAGCGACACGCTCACATCCTGGGGGCAAACAGTGACTTTTCAATTTCACTATTTCATTGATTTGATAGCACAGAGAAGTTGCTCCATTGACGAGTGGATGGAGACTTCAGTTCTGGTCACTTCCATATCTCAATGTTCATGAACAGTGATTCTTTGTGGCTGAGCTCAAGTTCATGAGAGTAAAGTTTTCCTTTGCTACTTGAATAGCAATAAAGTGTGTGGTTTTTTTTTTTTTTTTTTGATTGACAAAATGAGTACAAAAAAGCCTTTAGCCTTGAGGTGCCTTCTGAAATTAACCAAATTTCATCCACATATGCTCTTTTATAAATTTATAGAATGTCAAACCATGCCTTCTGCTATTTTATTTCCCATCCTTGCCACCTTAAGATGGACACTGCTTCCAACCTTCGTTGCCCAAATAGTGTTGAGTAGTGTTATGTTTTCTAGAATTTTTGTAAACCTGTCTGTTGGACAGTAAAGGTAAGATTTAGGGCAGGTAAATGACAACTGGGGGAGAGACTCAAAAGGTGACCTGACAGTTAGGTTTAGCATATGCAGGTTAGGGAAAAAAGCAACCCTTCTGATTGGCTGCGTTTTTATCTTCGCTATTTCCTGAGCCCTTAGACAAGTTTGCAGATTCATCTACTGCCCCTCATGCTAAAAAGTCAAATGTCATTACTGTCTAATCTGTCCTCATTTAGACTTCCCCTCAAATCTGAGGGATTTTATTTTTAAGAAATGTTAACAGATTTTTTGGAAGACAATTTAGACAAAGCAGTGTCATTTAATAAATACTATGTGGAATTTCACTATATTGTACCATCCTTTTTAAACCATTACAATAATGTTTCATCAAATGGTTAAATGGACCACCGGTTTCTTCGTGACATGTTTTTAGGCTTACTTCATTTGTCAAGTACACTTGGTCTTAATACACTCAGGTTTGAACAGATTGTTCAGAACATTTAAATTTAATCCATTCTTAATACTTTAAAACTTGTGTTAAGGAAAACTGCCAGTTTATGCTTTGGATCTGTCTGTTCTGACATCATAGTCTACTAGTGCACATGTGCTCTTACTGAAGCTTTAGATGCAGCTAGCAATGTGAAGTCTGCTTTTATTTAAGGAAGGATTTTCTTAAACATTTCAAGGGATTTATGTGTACACACCTGAACGTGTATGTGCGTGTGCATATGTGTATATACAGTCAAACTTACGTTGTTGATGTTTTCTAATTTAAAGCGATCAGGATCCAGGACATTCTGTTGCCGTTTCGGTAAACGGGCTGACAGAGACTGGCAGAGGTGTCACGGGCACACACAGCTGTGTGGGCGTTCCCAGCAGTCCCCGGGCAGCGAGGAGGCCTTGCCGAGAGGATCGCCTGCCGTCCATGTGGGGCCGGCTCCAGCCACGGAGACTTCCTACAGGTTTTGGGGAATCTTGACAGGGCGATTGTTTTCCTTGCTGCCGTGTTTGGGCTGTGTGTGTATGAAGAGCATCTAAATTGGACATTTGAAAACTGAGTTCAGAGTACTGAAGAAAAGAAAATCATCCTAAACATCTTCCCTACTACACAGCTCCCAGCATTGCTGCATCTATTGCTGACCTGCAATGTTGGGGTGGGAAAGGCAGTAGAAACGTGTTACTACTCAGTGACCAGTGCAGACTTACAGGGGTGGGGAACAGGGCCTGGCTATGTGCTGCTATTGGAAATGTGCAGAGGTACATTTTTTTTTTTAAGATTTTTTCCCATTCAGGAAAACATTGTAATCTGTACTGCAGGAACCAGATGTCATGCATCATAGATGCCTGTATAAAGTACATAAGATATCTAAATACGCATAAGGTGGGGAGGGTAATATTGTCTGTGAAATAATGTAAGAAGCTTTCCACTTCAACAGAAGCATTACTTTGAACACTAAACACCGTGTCAGACATTTTCAAGGTGGTTGGAGTGCTTGAATAAATTCTAGTAATTCCTTGAGAAGCTAGGTAGTTTGAAGCTATTCTGTTTCATTCATGCTCAATTCTGATTAATGCCAAATTTTGTTAGTTGTAATCACTGGTGATAAGGGCACCGGGCAGTCATTATTCCTAAACTGGTCAGTGGTTTGGGAGAGAAGGGCGATGTGAAGCTGATTAACAGTTAATTAAATCAGATATTTATTTGTTACATTGTTTCATTTGTATTCTAGGTTGCCTTTTGCATTCTTTTTATATGCTTTCTGACTTTTTTTTAAGACTATGGAAATAATTTAAAGATGTGAGCTCTGGTGGGTGATTCCCTACTAAGTTTGAAATGGAATATTTTGATAATACTGTACCATAACTGTCACAGATGCTTTTCTAATGTTTTAACCTTGAATATTGCAGTTGCTGCTTTGTACAGAGGTCACTGCAATAAAGGAAGTGGAGTCATTGAAACTACTTAATGTCTGCTCTTCAATTTCACCTGCTTCTACGTCTCTGAGCTTTCAGATTTATATCATTTGCGTGACAGCTTCCATTCCTGAGCAGTGAGAGGCAGTGGGGGACAGCCAAGGATGGGCCAACACCAGGAGGGTAGCACAGACCCAGGTACCTGAGCCCCATCCACCCCTTTCCCAGGCTTGTTAGCAGGGAACTGCACTGGGCGCAGGAAATGTCAGCGTTTGGGGCAGCAGCTGGCCTCCCAGAACGGCATTTCCTGAAGGCCCTTTTCTTGAATTTCCGGCCCAAGCATGGGTATTTGGAATCATACCTTAACTCTTGGCCTCTAGAGTAACTGCCACTGAGGCTGACCCTTCCAAGGCTCACCAAGTGAGCTTGCTTTCTAATTGTGCTGTATTCTGGGGGCTGGACTGCTCACTGATGGACACAGAAGCCTGGAGAGCAGAAGGAGCCGTGGTCTCCTAAGGCTTCTGTTTAGGCTGAGGCACAGAACTAGAGCAGTCGCGGCGCTTTCACTTCACGGCCACAGTATTTTGCTTAAAGCCGAAAACTATTTGAATTACTAACAAACTTGGAACATAAGGACAACTGAAAACGTGGGGTGAAGGGCTGGTTACAATGGAATGTAAATTTACACTCCCAGGTGTTCTTAGAGTGGGTAGCATTTGCCCATTAATTTGGGGAGTGGTGATTTTGAATAGAACCAGTCTGTTAGCTTATTCTGCACCTCTCACAGGATGTGTGGGAGCAGCCTTGTCTTGCCATTCTGCCCCTCAACATTTAATTGTGTGCAGACATCTTCCAACAGCCAGGTATGTACACCAGTGATCCCTCCTCTCTCCTCTCTCTCCTCTCTCTCCTCTCCTCTCTCTCCTCCCCTCTCTCTCCTCCCTCTCCTCCCTCTCCTCCCTCTCCTCCCTCTCCTCCCTCTCCTCCCTCTCCTCCCTCTCCTCCCTCTCCTCTCCTCTCCTCTCCTCTCCTCTCCTCTCTCTCCTCTCTCTCTCTCCTCGGATTTGAACCCGGGCCGCCCTCACCACCGCCTTCCCTTCTAGCTCAGGAGGCTACCACGGCCTCCACGAGAGGAGCTGCTGCAGCTCCCTAACTGGTCTCCTCTTGCTCCTTCATCGCTTTATTTGTCTAGCAGTCAGGTGATCCTTAAAAAAAAAAAAAAGGGACACTCAACTCATTTTCCTGCTTCAGCCACCACAGCCAGGCACTCTGTAGGTTCTAACTGGTGTGACCTACATGGTTGGCAGGAGCCACTCCCTGAAGACCTGGCTGCTGCTTCCTTCCAGAACCTCCTCCCCTAGGGTCTCCAGCCTGACTGGCCCCACCAACACACCCATCCTGGGTGCCTTACCAATGTCCATCACCTCCTCAGACCCTGGAACAGCACACACGAGTGGACCAGCCCTCTGACGAGTGCCCACTGCCTCGCTCCTCAGACTGGATTCCTCACACCTGCAGTTTCATATTCAGTGTCCATCTAGCTTGTGGAGAAATCTGTCTAGGCACCCGATGCACCTGTTTCTGGCATGATAGGCGAAGCTCTCAATACACCCCTATTGACTGGATATAATAACCCTCTTGTCTTTTGTAAATTTTACCCTATGTCAGATGCATGCTGCAAACTGGCACAAGAAAGCTGAGACTCCCTTGCCATATCTCACTGTTATACTTAAGCCCAAGGATATGTTTGTAATACAAAGAATGACATCTTCCCTTCCTTATTTTATAGAAACCCAAGAGATCTAGGTTGCCATTTCTGTGTCCCTTCTAAGACCAACAAGGGTCAGTGCCACGGTGAACTGCTCTGCCATCTCCACATCCAGGTTTCTAGCACTTACTGGGATGCAGTAGCTTTTCAAACATTATTTATGGGGAAAACTTTATGGAATGAATACAAACTCCCAAGGTCAGGTATGAGGATACTTAATAAACCTCATGGAAAAAGGAATGAAAACATGATTTTGGGTATAAAAAATGACATCCACATGTTGTCTGGTCCCTAATACACATTCTCTGCGGCCATTTCCGAAGACGCCTCACAGTTACCGAATGGTACAAAGAGAATTCGAATCCAGGCTCTCACGTCACGGGGCCACCCCTGTGTGTGTGACGGGCCATGCAGAGCCGCCAGTAACGCACACAGTTAACAGACCGCACCCCAGTCCAGCAAAGTCAGATAAGTGAGGCTCTGGACTAGGGGGCGGCTCTGCCAAGGCGGCAGGCAGAGCAGCAGTGCAGAGGGGGAGTGAGAGAGACTCTTGCCTTCATTAGCTTTGGTATAGGAGCGGTGGTCTTTGGGGAGCAGCCTGCTTCGTGTCACCAGTGCAGCTACTGGGGCTTCATTAGAGAAAAGAATGATGCCATTGCACGTGACTGCCCAGCGAGGGCAGAGCGTGCAGCAAAGAAGGGCCCAGGTAATTCGGTGCCCTCCCAGGGGCCCTTTCCTGTTTGGAAAACATGAACAAAGCACAGTGAGCAAGTATAAATAAGGCCCAGCACGGTCTCCACGGCAGGTGCACAGCCCTGGGAGGGAAGTGGATGGTTTTGTCCACCCAGGCGCCTTCTCCCCCTCCATCCAAAGATCCGGGCTTTAAGGGGCTTTGAGGCACTCTGCATTTGAAAGCAGCCAGCATTCAGACGTAGTCTTGGAAGCTCTGTGGAGGACCCACTCGGGAGGGGAGGGAGGTGCCATACTGCCCTGCTGTAACACAAGGAAACTGCCTGGCAGTGCCCGCAGGCCTGGCACAGGGGCAAGGGAGGCCCTCAGATCCATCGGAATTTGCTTATGGGCCAGGCAGACATCCCAGGACAGACAGATCCTGCTTCCTAACGAACCTGCTACCTAGGACTTGGCTCAGCCCAGCCCTGAGGGGTAGGAGGGGAGGAAGGGGAAAGAGGTGGGGCTCAGAAACCATGGGTGCTCCAGGCTGGGCTTTGTGAATGATGCTGGGAGCTGAGTGAATGACACCCCAAAACCCCTACTCTGCAGATTAGCCAAGGGGAGAGCAGAGGCATGAAAGCTTGTACGGAGGTGACCTGAAGAGCAGGTGGCTGGGCACTGTGGCACAGCTCCGGCCCACATGGGCTCTCGGCTTGAGCCTGGCCCTGGCGTGGCTCTGCCTGCTGTGGGCCTCTGGGATATGACTCAACAGGGGCAAGATGGATCTCTCTCATTCTTCCACCACCCCATGCTGTATCACTCTGCTTTCTACATAAAGAAATACAGACTTTTAGAAAGTGGAGCTAGGAACACAGCTTGCTTCAAAGCTGCAGTGTTAATCCCTGAGACAGGGTGAGGGCAAGAGTGAGAGCAAGAGCAAGCACTGCAGTGTGTCCCTGTGTTGGGGATGCTGGCCAAAGCCACAGCGGAGCACCTGTCGCCCGGCCGGCATGCGAGCACTGTCTGTCAGCTGTCGGCAAGCCTCTGCTGGGTAACTAATGCCTACTGCACCTGGGCAGGACAGAGACCTTTCTGCCCAAGAGCTAGTGGGACAAAGAGCCCACCTGTCACACAGCCCGACCTCGCGGCCTCACCCATGCTCAGCGCAGGGCTCCAGCAGAAGCTACTATGAAAACAATCAGAATTTAATTTCAACGTTGGTGCCTCTGAAGTAATTAAAGAGCTGGGCTAGATTCCAGTTCTCTCTGTGAGCAGGCTGGGAGGCCTCTCAAAAATGGAGACCGGAGCTGGCCCTTTCCCGCTAATCTCCCTCGGCCCTCCTAGGTGCTGTTGTGAATAATTACTTCATCAGAGCGGCTCTGGATCAATGCGCCCAGAGTGTTTGCAATTAGCAGCTCCTGTACCAAGTCCAGCTGCACCCCCTTTAGGTGGAGATCAGACACCGGGACGGCACTTCGCAGAGCTTGCATTGGCACAAACGCAAGGATGCCTTCTCCAGCTGCCTTGCCAGGCTCAGCCTCCCCAGCCTGACCTGTGGACGGGTACCCGCTGCCCCTGAACGTCTAGCACACAGTGCCACACCAGTGCCTGGAAACTCAGGAATGCCACACAGGGACTGCCGCATGCCACAAATCCTGGCACACAGGAAGGGAGCCAGCCCTGAGCAATTCCCTCAGGGACGAGAGTTCCCTAACTGGGAGTGCAGACACGTGCAGGGTGCTCACTCTAGGGAGACCAGAGGATGAAGAGACCTGGAGTAGATGGAGCTGAGGGGAAGTCCCAGGTTTGCGATCCCAGCTGAGACCGTGGACGAGTCACATTCCAGCCCCCTTTCCTCACTGGCCAGCAGCACTGTGGGGAGGATGGCCTAGGCTGTACTTCAGGACTCCGCGTCAGGCCTGCCCTGGGTCTGCGCTCCGAGGCTGTAGGCCTCGGTCGTGTCTGTGCCTGGAGACTTGGGGCAGCTGAGGAAGGGTCGGAAGAGGGGTGTGTGAGAGCCAACATCCTGCAGCCTTTGGAACACAGTGAGTTAAGCCGCCATCCATGATTCCAGCATGCACATGGGTGTGCAATGCAGTCCTGGCTGTTCTACTTCCTATCCAGCTCCTTGCAAATGCGCCTGGGGAAGCAGTGGAAGATGATCCAAGTCCTTGGGCTCCTGCACTCCCATGGGAGACTTGGAAAGAAGCTCCTGGCCTGGAACTGGCCCAATTCCAGCAGTTGCAGCCATCTGGGGAGTGGAATAGCGCTACAGGCCGAACTCCAGCCACTGGCACCTTTGCCACCCTCAAAACCTACAGTGAAGTGATGTCCACTGCCCTCCCCTCACCCAGCCCTGTGGCAACAACAGCACTCCCCACCCAGTCTGCATGGACCTGGCAGCTCAGGACCCCTGCTGCCTCCTTTTGCACAACCCTCTCCGGTCACTGTGTCCTTCGGGCTGCCCTGGCTGCAATCCACGCCAGAGCAGCCTCTCCCCAGCCCTGGAACAAGAGCCACTCTCCCCTCTCCCCTTTCCCTGACAATCGGTCTGCATGGCCTACAGGGAGATGCGAGGCAGCGACCGGTCATGAGCACCACCACTTTT